TCTGCGCATTTTTTCCATTAGAGCCTGGCTAATAACAGAAAGCAGGGTCAGCGTGCCAAAAGAAAGCAGCTGGGAAGACAGTTTGAGAAGCACTGTCAAGCAAAGTCTAAGACAAGTTCACATTGTCACAAGTAATAGAAAGTTTGCTCTCCCTTCCCCCTTCACTCCATATCAGCTCAACACACTGGGCACTGGCAGAGATCCTCAGCTGCACACAGGAAGGAGTCCACAATAGAAAAACAGATACATTGGAAATATTTCAGAATTTCATTATTTCTCCACTGTTGTTTGGGTACTGAGGGAAAGTGCAGAGAACCAGAGCTTCCCTGTAGCTGATAAAAGAGAAGGTTGTCAGAGGAATGTCTGGAAATTTTTAGGAATGAACCTGAGTAATGATCTGCAAAGCTGGCATTGAAATGGAACGCATTTCGCTTTAAGAATTTAGCAGGTCTGGTTGGAAAGACCTCAAACCCAAGCACACTAACTGGGGGATAAGCCCTACTTAACACAACTGCATATCTATAAAAACCCAAATCTAACTGTTGTAGTACAAGTCAATACACAGGAAAATGAACAAGGGACCCACAGAAAAGTGTATCCCTGTATCAAATCAAAGCATTCCAAGAAATAATTGGAGAGGTGTTATAAAATGCAGTAAAAAAGAAAAAAGAAAAAGAAAGATAGTATGTGTGAGGCATGGTATAGCAGGAGGGGACTGATACAACAGTTCAACATGACTGTGCAAGGTTGTCTGGCATGGCATACCAACATTGCAGTTTTGTTTATTCATACAAATAAATTCAAAATATCTTCGGGAAATGGCTTTGATTACAAAATCTCATTCCTAGCCTTCCTGCTCCACACTAAATTACTAAAGTACATTAAATAGTCTAGCTCCACACTCCATGGAGTCTAGTATCTATTTTTTAAAGGACAACAACAACAGAAGTGTGTGGCCCTGTCAACAAGAGCTATGCTGAGGTGAGGAGCTGTGCTGAGGTTACGTAACAGGTCAAGCTGCTGTTGGTATGCACTGGACATGGAAAACTTAAACCAATTGCTGCTAAAAAGTGTGGGGAGAAGAGGCATCTTTAAGGGATCACACTGTGAATGAGTTAGAGGTGAATGTTATGGGGGTGGGGGGGGGGGTTGGTTAAAAAAACTGCTAAAAAGTCATATAATAACAAGCAAAATGTAGAAGAAGACTTGCACTAAAGTACAAATATACCATCATCCATATGTCACACTACCAAATTAAGAACATCCTCACATATTTATGGGATCTGTGCAAAAGAAAGACCTATTAATAGGCTTAGTACAGAAGCAGGAACAGTGAAAGGGCCAATATCTGCCCCATTACTCCTCATGTTAGCTGCACCGATATCACACAGCACAATAAAAGTGCCATGTGACTATTTTCAGATTTGTGGTGGGGAAATGCCATTTTGAAAGACATTGGAATAAGGGGAAAACTTTGCAAGTGGTTTGCTTGCATTTTTCACCATTTGAAGGGTGAAAGAAATAACCTAACAACCTTTACGGGCTGTCATAAGCTTCAGAGTTCACATAAGTGGAATTCGGGACCGCATAAATGCCATAGGGTGCCATTTCCTCACCCTTGTCTTAGGGAAACACAAAGGTTTGCTCTGGTACAATCATCTATAGAGAAATTCCTTAATGGGGATAAACCTCCCTCTTGGGACCAGGATTCTGACTGACTGGCTGGCTAAAATGGAAAATTGGGGTGGGGTGGAGTACATCTGAAATCATTAACACGTCTTGCCATGACATTCGGTCATTGATCTCATTGATTGGACTAGGTTTTTTGGTCACTTATCTGTTCTCATGGATTTGTGTTTTTTACACACTCAAGGTTTTAGTAGTAAATCTACCAAACGCCAGACAACTTTTGTGGGTCATCAAACTGTTGCTTTGGAGTCTTCTCTTAATCATTCTCTTCAATAGAGATTACCTTTTCTCTGAACAAAAATTGGAACACTTAGAAGCATATTGCACAAAAGCAATAATATCTTTCTTGTGAAACTAGAAAGATAAATAGGTCAATTTTTTCTCATTGGCAAGCACTGAAGAGACGGGTGTCATGTAAAATGGCAGAGAGATGATTTGGCTCGAAATGATATTTTAACAAAATCAGGCTTTTAGTGCTTGGCTCTTCAAATGAAATCCAAGATAAATATGATGAGAAAATTCCCTGAAGCAAAGAGCACAGACGACGACTGTGAGATGCTCCATGCTTGGAAACCGTGCCAAAAATGTAACCCTTTGGACAGAGAGTAACAGAAAGAATATAGATAATACTTTCAAAGTACTAACATGAAATGGGAAACTCATTACAATAACACCAAAACCAACGAGGACATTTAGAAAAAATGCAATGAAGTTTTAAGCTTTAAGTGTATAGAAATAACTTCACATCAGCATGCTGAATTTCTTATATTTGTGTGTGTGAGTAAAAGAGAGAGAGAGAATGACAATGTTGGCAGGCACACATAGTGATTAGTTTGTGCAGTTCTCTCATTCTAAGTTTCCTAGCCAAGTAAGTTTAAATGTGGACACACTGCTGGACTGAAACTCTAGCCTTAAAGCACCACAGGAAATCAACAATGAAAAGTTATTGAGAAGATGCTTAGCTGGAAACTATAATTAAATATTCACATCTAGCAAAACTCCATTATTAGATTAGGAGGAAGGTTTTGGCTATTTGTTCACTCAAATTTTATAAAATATGGTAAGGAACAGTTTTATATCTATTTGAAACGGCATTATTCAACTGCAGTAGATCCAGTCTTAGCAATGGACCAAGAGATATTAATGTCCCAAAGCAGTTACTATACTCCCAACTTAAGAACAGGAAACATAACGTTGGTGGACAGGAAAAGAGATTTAAAGATGGGCTTAAAACCAACCTTAAAAACGTCCCAGTTTTCATATACACTGAGAACTGGGAAGTCCTGGCCCTTGAGTACTCTAACTGGAAGTCAGCTGTGATCAGCAGTGCTACAGAATTCGAAGAGGCATGAAAGGAAGAAACATGTCAAGAGGGAGGCACATCCAGCCAACCCTGATCAGGATGCCTTCCACTTGGAAACTGATGTCCTCACTGCGGGTAAACATGAAGATCAAAAATAGGACTCCACAACTACCTACGGACCCACCACCAAGACACAAGACTTGGAGGACCATCATCCTCGGGCTACAATGGATCATATAAGTAAGTAAGTAAGTAGGTAAGTAAGTTGGCGGGGACGAGAGATAGGGCCTTCTCGGTGGTGGCTCCTCGGCTGTGGAACGCCCTTCCTAGGGAAATTAGACTAGCACCATCTCTAATGGTATTCCGCAGGAAAGTGAAGACCTGGCTGTTTGAGCAGGTGTTCGAATAATTAGTGCAATGATTGGTTAATGAACATTGGAACGGAATAATGGATGACGAATCTGGATCATGTTTCTGATGATGAGACGATAGTGAATAGTGAATGGTTATTGTAGTAATTGTTTATTAATTATGTAATATGTTAGGTTGTTAACTGTTTTTACACTGTAGCATTGAATTTTTGCTGTTCTTATTTGTTGTGAACCGCTGTGAGTCGCCTTCGGGCTGAGAACAGCGGTATATAAGTAAAGTAAATAATAAGTAAGTAAGTAATGTTAGTGGTAAAATGAAGATAGATCTTTCTCTGTTCCTCTTTTTTTCTCTGTCTCCTGGCTATACTTTCAGAAACACAGATGCAGTTGTCTCAAGGGACACAAAATTGTTTTCTAATAACTGCATTTTAAAGGACAAGAAGCTTAGAAATAACACAGAAATGGTAAAAGACAAGAAGCTAGCCAGAGAGCACAGCAAGCAGTTTATCGATCTGAGGCAATCACAAACAAAGTGAAAAACTTTTACATTGCTTTGTAATCTTTGGCACTGCTTTGGAAGGAATGATTTGTAATAAGTCAATGTGACAATGGCAACCAGAGAGAACTGTGGTATACTCAGCAAATTAAGTTCTTAGCAACTTAAAAAAAAAACCCCTGAGAAATACAACAGTAACAGGGAGAAATATGGAGCAATAAGGAGACAACCGTTAATTGATGGGAAGCAGCAAGCACAAAAGACAAAACCAGACAGATGTTTTCAAGTATTTACATAGCAGATTGGATCCCTAAAATATAGGAAGGAGATGGTGCAATATTTTTGGTAATTTTGACAGCCAGCATTGCTCAACATTGGCTGAAATCTGAGGACATATCTGAAGACAAATGCTTTAGGGCTTGTGTCTTTGGGGAACAGGCAAGCGGGAAAGTCTGAAATCAAAGGAAGGCAACAGATGGATGTTTCGAAGAAAAGCAAGGTGGAATGATATAAAGAATATGGAAATGTGACTTTGGTTTCAAAACAGGAAAGGGAGTTGAATGACTGCCTTGGAAATCTTTTCAGTGCTGTTATCTGCCCAACTCTCAATTTCCCTGTGCATACCAACAGGATAAATTGTTCTTCTTGCAACCTTGATGGCCAGCTTCTCGGGGGAAAGACAAAGTACAGTATGTTTCCTATTATCAACCTGAGATGAAACTACAAGTGAAAAAAGGAATACTTTGTTTGTAGTCAAGCAGGCCAGAAGGGAATAGCATGCGAGACTACTCAAATGAGATAAAGTGAGTGTTGTCATTAATTGCAATGCCTTTTCTGATAACTCCTTTCATATCAGGGATCCAAGGAGAACAAATCTCATCTCTGCTTTCGAAGCTCAGGTGATCAGTAATGCTTATCTTCATCTGAAAGCTAAGAACATTGATCTCTCTTAAATCTTTGGAAATCAAAAAGACTATGACTATATCTGGCAGTGATGATGAGAAAAGATAAGAAATCTAGTCCAAATACTGACGAATGCATTCCTCAAAAGAGAATTCAAGGGCTCTCTGCTCCCCGCCTTTGTGTATGACAGCTGATCAAACAAAGCACTTGGCAGCACAAAAAATGAAAGGCAATATGATAACATGAAACAAATATTTGTTTTATATAAACACCAAGGCAAGAGCAAGACAAATGGTTTTCTTCCAACATGCAAGAGCTCAGGATGAACGAGTAAGTCCTTGCAGGAACATCATGATTCAGTGATATAGCTTTATGATTCATCTTTGGCTGGGTTCATATACTTGTTTGTGCTGTTTTGGGGTCATCCAACCCAAAGCCAATGAGTATTTGAATCTTAATCCTGTGGGAGGATTTAACATGGACTGGTAAATTGAAACACCCTTGAAAATGGCTGCTATGGTGCAGAGGCTCAAGTGCCTGTCAAAAACATGTTAACTGCCACAGAAATATTTAAACAGAATTCGGTTTTCCTCAAGACCAAATTGTACTGTAATATTTCAGTGGCAGTTGCACAAGAATTAATGTGGCACAATTGGGTGTTTTTGAAATAAGCCACTCTAACTAAGTCATCCTGACCCCCCACAGCTGGCACACTGTAAGCCATTTGATGATAAATGAAACTTGAGTTATGATTTGATCAATTGGATTTGGTGACAATTTTCCAAGCAAAGCATTCAACGGTACTGGGAGAAAAACCTGCTGTACAAAAATCAAACCTAAGTAATGTGTCCTTAATCTATTCATTGGAGGGTCTTTATTTCAACTTGAGGGTAAGTAATAATGGTTGCAGTTCTCAGCCCACTTCCTCAGTAAGGCTGTTTCCACACTGCAGAATTAAAGCAGTGTGACACCACATTAACTGCCATGGAACTCTGGGGTCTGTAATTCGTGAGATATTTGTCCTTCTACGTCAGGGAGCTGTGGTGCCACAACAAACTACAAATCTGGGTTGTTGTAGATTTTTCAGGCTGTACTGCCATGTTCTAGAAGCATTTTCTCCTGACGTTTTGCCTGCATCTGTGACAGGCATCAACACAGGTTGTGAGACATCATAACCTCTGAGGATGCCTGCCATAGATGCAGGCAGGAGAAAATGCTTCTAGAACATGGCCATACAGCCTGAAAAACCTACAACAACCCAGTGATTCCGGCCATGAAAGCCTTCAACAATACAAACTACAAATCCCAGAATTCTATAGGATGAAGCCATTACAGTTAAAATGGTTTCAAACGGCTATAATTCTGCAATGTGGATGGTCCATAAGTTCCCATGAGAGTAAGTGGCTTGAGGGGTGAAGCCAACAAGTACCTGAGACGGAGTACAAAAAGGGCCAACCCAAGCAGCTGTTCTTTGGGCCCACTTTCTCCTAACTCGCTACCTCCTTTACTGAAATAGGCAAAACCATCCAATTACAGCCTTGCAATGGCATTTCTAGTTTTGAGAACTGGATTTGTTGTTTAATATTGTACAGGTTTTACTGTTAGCCTCACAACAACCCTGTGAGGTAGGTAAGCATTATGAATTCTGTTTCATAAGCAGAGGAGGAAGAGGAGTGAAGGCGTAGCCTTCCTAACTGTTTCCTCATTCCCACAAAATTCAGTGGCAACGTTCGCAACCATCTCCCTGTTTCCACATTCAAATTCACCCCTCTCATGTCTGGCAGAGGCTTCCTGCATCTTATTGTTACTCCACAAAACAGAGCATCATGCAAGGAGAGTAGCACAGCATAGTTAATCACAACATAGCAAAACTCTCTTTGTACCCAGAAAACAGGTCCAGCGGTACTGTTTTGAGCCACCCCTGCTGGCAGCCTGTTTTGAAAGGAAGTAAAAAGAGTTGGCTTCTCAACCCTGGAATGTTTGATGTTTAAGGCATGGCACAATAGGGGATTGGAAGAATGAACGGACGAAACAGAAACAGTCCGTACAGGCAATAATAAATATATAAGGAAGCTGACAGTGGGACATCTCTCTTGTCCCGCCTTCTTGACGCTTTCCAGGACTCCCTTCCAACTGGGCTGAGCGAGAGAGGCCCACCACTTACAGCCAGCGGCAGCAGTCTATATCTCCATATCCACAGGCCTGATATCGCCAGTTTTGTGTTCTTTGACCCACAGTTCCCTGTCTTTGGCTGGATCCACTTTCTGAAGCAACTGATCCACAGGTTCTACTGTCTAAAAGAACAACAGCACAAAAAGAGCAGAAGCATTAGTATTTTCAAAGAAGAAAAGAAAAACAACTACAGCTGAGAATCACCTATTTTAAATGCTTGGGAACAGAAATGTTTTGGGTTTTGGATTTTTTCAGATTTTGGAATAACTATGTATATAGATACTTAATGAGGTACCATTATTTTGGAGATGGGACACAAGTCAAAACACAAATTTAACTTATGTTTCATATACCCCTTATACTCACAGTACATAGGTAACTTTATAATATATATTTAATAATTTTGTGTACCACGAGCCACCAGAAAACAAAGGTGTCACAACCTCAGCTACCAATTTGGGATTTTGGAGAATTTCAAAGTTCCAGAAAAGAGTTGTCAACCTGTAAAACCCATCCTTCTGTTTTTTGTTCAAATTTTAAATAAAGGTTTCCTGAATTTATAACTCAATTAAATTAACAACTATTAAAAGCACATTTGTGATTTGAGTTTGTGCTGTCAAGGGCACTATTTCAACTATAGCCAAAGAGTAGGTCATGGATATTGAGACAAGTCCAACAATGGAAGATGTCCATCTGTGGTATCAATACCATCATCTGCATCAGATGTTTGTGGAATTTATGAATTTTGAGCCCCAAAACTAGTTGTTTGTCTGAACAAAACTAAAGGTAAAGGTTTCCCCTTGACATTAAGTCTAGTTATGTCCAACTCTGGGGGGTGGTGTTCATCTCCATTTTTAAGCTGAAGAGCTGCCATTGTCTGTAGACACCTCCAAGGTCATGTGGCTGGCATGACTGCATGGAGCGCTATTGATCTCACATTTGCATGTTTTAGAACCGCTAGGTTGGCAGACGCCGGGGCTAACAGTGGCAGCTCACCCCGCTACCTGAATTCGAATCGCCAACCTTTTGATCAGCAAGTTCAGCAACTCAGTGGTTTAACCTGCTGTGCCACCGGGGGAATGAGACTAGACCTACTGAATCAGTAACCTTTGGCTATTACTTTCACACATAAATGTCATTGATTGAATGGGCCTACTCTAGCTGGGACTAGAAAATGGATTTATACCTAAGGGTTTAGACTGACACCAGGCCTGCCAAAATACTGAGAGACTCACACTTTGGTTGAACATATCTGTCTCGTGCCGCAACTGTGTATATTGGCAAAGGTGCTGCCGAATCATCTCCACCCTCTCCACTTCTAGTCTCTCAAGTTCCTGAAAGGGAAGAGTAAAACATCTTGGTTAATGGATAAGGATAATAAGGAACTTCAATGGAGATCAAACGAAAAGTGTTTCTTAATTATTAAAAGCAGCAACATGAGCAAATGTCTAGTGCAAGTCTTAAAAAAAACTTTGGTACTATGTGTTGGAATTCAAACTCACACGGCCCAAGTCTGCAGTCCTCAATGAGGAAGAGTTAATTAGCTTTAGAATAGGCTGAGGTGTCCCTTCCTCCCTCTCTCCTTTATGACAGTTGGAATGTATCTAATTTCATTCTGATTACATGTGTAGAATGGATACTTTTCTACAGCAAGCCTTTACTTCTGACTTCTGTTTTTTCATCTGAGTGTGCTGAGTTTATTGAGATCCCTCTCTAATTGTGTGTCAGGAGACGTAGTCAATGGAGTTTTCCCATCTGTTTGAAACCCTAGAAGATTTGAGTTACAGAGTAGCTAGGACCCTGTTCTTTAATATGAAGAAATATCGAAATTGTTTTGGTAAATAAACCTTTTGTGATTTTAAAGACAGAACTCTGCATGTTTGCCTCCTAAGCTCTAAGTTCTCTACAGCCACATGGCACTTCACGCTCTGCTTGCTGTGAGCTGAATGCCCAACCATAAGTATCCTGCTTTTGTATTTTTGGATGCTCTGCTGTGTTTTTTGGGAGTTTTCCCCTAAGACACACAAAATCCCTAACACTATGTACACACAATACTTGTTTCTTTTTAGTAACACACAAGTGGCTACTTCGTGGAATGTGTCTGCTATGTCACGCTAAAGCTAGTTTTTACATACAGTATAACTAAATCTTAAGCATATTGTATTTTTATTCCAACTATGATAGAAATGGAAAATTGTGATGCTCTCAGAATTCTAATTTAAAAATATCCCCTTTTCTCTTTCATTTCCATCAGACTTTGGCACTTAGCAGATTTTGCTATTTTCAACATAGTGATTGACTTGCACATTGCTCATTTTTTTCACACATCAGCAAAAAAAATCTGCTCATAAGATAAAATACTTCAAAATGCCAATAGATTTTCATTTTTCATTTCATTTTCATTGGCCCCAAACAGGCTTGATTCATGTGATTTGTTTTTTAAGAAAACCAAACAATTTTTCTCTAGCCAAATCACAGATTTAAAAAAAATACTACTAGGAAAACTAAGTGCCATTTATGGTTTCCGGAAGAAATATTTACCCTGATATATCCAGGAAACTTATTCTTTTCATTAGAGTGTGAATATAAATGTTTTTACAAAACACTGTCATGTTGAAGGTGGAACGTTGTGAGCTGAGAAGCGCAGCACACCTCTTGCCCACCAAAACACAGCTGTCAAGTCTCCATTGCCAGTTATAGCACAACTAATCCCATGTGTTTTATGCAACTCATAATCAAGTACTTCTCCAGCAAAATCAATAGTTACAAAAGAAATGGAGGAAGGACAAGGAAATCCGTGGAATAATGACATCAGGCCACAAAGTAAATTTTTATACCCAACAAAGAGAAAGGTGACTTGGCAGGAAGCCCCTGTTTTCACCAGCAGCCCCATATTTTATAGCACATAGTTTTGTCATGAGAAAAGTGGAGAAAATTTGACAAATTTCAGATTTTGGGTGCCAATTCCATAGGATTCGAGATATGAAAAAGTTCAGATACAGATATAACTTGACTGGAAAAACCAAGAGGGTTGCATAAAGTACAGGTTGAGATACAAAACTATAGCCCCTGATTTTCCTTACCTTTTTCTCCAATGGCCAGGAGAAAATAATGAGTAGAAAATAAATAAAGGTACAAAACTGTCTCTCAACTCAATAATAATTTAATTTGAAAAATTAGCAACTTTTATTGTGTTATTGTGTTTAATTTGAGTATTTTTAACTGTCTGTTTTAATGTTTTATTTTGTTAGTCTCATGGCATTGAATTTTGCCATTTTTACCTTTTTTACCTTTGGAAGCCACCCTGAAAAATAAAGCTGCTGCTGCTTTGTCGTTATCATTGTCGTCATCGTCCTCCTCTTCCTCCTCCAATTCAACTTAGATATATCTAGATTGACCATTTAATGCAGATTGAAGCTTGCTGCAAAACGCAGCAGCCAACAATCAATGTCCATGAAAATGTGCAAGAGAAAATCCTTAATTTACATCAGTGCTCTGTGCTTTGTGCAATCACCATCTGGGCTAAAAACTGGTTTCAGAATTTCCTATGTAATCACCTGCAAAGTGAGACCACTTTACTAGTTTGAAATAGCATTAAATGGCCAGTGTAGATGCTTCCTGAGTTTTCTAACCAACTATTTCTCCCCTTACCACTACACATGCACGTGCCGCTGCCACGGTTACTGGAGTGGTGGTTCTGGTGAACAAGATTTCAGCAAGAAAGGGAAAACTCAATGTGACATACCAGAGAGGTGGTCACCATTTCTTCAAACCACTTTGACTGAGCTTGATTATACAGGTCCACACAGCGCATGAGATCATCTCCTGTAACAATCAAAGACCAAAACACCAGAGTGAGTCATTCCGGCAAACTGCTCACCCACCCAAAAGGCAATTTGAAGTGAAAGTGCGTTCACCCACACATTTCTACATGCAAGGTGCTGCGATCCGACTGAGGCACCATAAATTCCTGGTGTAGCTAATTCAAACTGATTAAGAAAGAAGTGAAGGGTGCTCTCTCCATCGTTATGGGTTGTGACACAGGGCTTTCAAGAAACAGACTGAAACTGCAGACTCAACCAGATGAAAAGCATGCCTGGTTAGCCACTAATATAAAACACTGAAAGATTAAACACTGAAAAACAAGGTTCCAACTCCACAGTTGCCTACCTCCCACGAGTGTCTTCCTTCAAGGGAATCTCCCCAAGTTTCCCTGGCCTCAGTGGCTAAGAATCATGAAAACATTCAAAAACTGTGTTAGGGAACAAAGGGGGAAATCCTGTTCCCTAATCTTGGAAATTCCAATAAAAACTAAATCAAGGAACAAAATGACAGGTTGCTGGGAGGCAGGGGGGGCTATGTGTGGAGTTAAACAAATAAAAGGCAAATTGCCCACCCTTCGACTCTCAGATGTGATATATACGCAGCCCATGAGTTACAAACATCTGACTTAGGAACAACTCATAGTTATGAACGGGGCTCTCCCCTCCTTCCCTGCCATGAAATCTTAGTGCTAAGCCAAACCCTGTTTCCTTTTTTCCCCTATGGATCTCTCCAAACCCCATTTATCAATATCTCCAAACCTCTTTTAATTTTTCTTCCTATCGATACCTCATTCGTCCTCCTTGCATTTTTCCACCTCTCCTCTCCTTCATCCATCATACCACTTTTAATTTCCTGGCTCAATGCTATGCAATGCTGGGATTTGTAGTTTGGTGGGGGCAGCAGTATTCTTTGGTAGAAAAGACCTTGAAAAACTACAGCTCCCAGAATTCCATAGCAATGAACCAGGGCAGTTAAAGCGGAGTCTAACTGCATTCATTCCACAGAATAAGTACACCCCAAGGAAGCTGCTTAGAAGCTTTGGTTTGAAAAAAGGGATTCTAATCACACATGAACTATATTGTGCACCTTTTTTGGCCAAATTACAAAGAGTGCACTTCTTGCTGGGCAGGCCCGTAGCCAGGATTTCGTTTCGGGGGGAGGGGGGGCTGAGTTTTTTTCAGGGGGGTTTCGGGGGGCTGAGTTTCGGGGGGGGGGAGGCTGAGTCTGAGTGAAAGAGGGTCTACCTTAGCAAACCTTTTGTATCATTACCCCAATACCCCCATGCATATGGGATATATTGAGTATGGTGATCAGATCATGATATGAATAAACATAACAGTTTACATAATGCACCAGTAAAGCCTTTTCGCGAACCACCATGAGAATTTTGGGGGGGGGGGTGAAGCCCCTCAAGCCGCCCCCCCCCCAGCTACATGCCTGTTGCTGGGCCTGTTCTGACTTACAAACAAATTCAGCTTAAGAACAAACCTATAGACCCTATCTTGTTTGTAACTTGGGGATTGCGTGTACATCATTGTCCTTCTATATCCACAGATTCTGCATTCATGGATTCAATTATACATAACCTGAAAATATTTATTTTAAAAAGTCCAAAAAGAAAAAGGGACACTATTTTAATATGTATATAATGATTCTTGGGCATCCATGGATTTTGGCATCCACAAAGGATCCCGGAACCAAACTCCAACAGACACCAAGGGCCACTATATCAACAGGAGAAATAATTTTGGCTTTATGGCACCTGTATGCTTGTCTCTTTTCTTTTCTCCCCTGCAGGTCTCTGCATCACCTGAAAAAAGATAAAGCTTCCTGGCCATCCTAGCTGGTTTTCAGAATTTATGGGAAAGTGAATGAGGAGAGGGAAATGCACTCTTCTGTTTTTTATTAGACTCTGCTGTTTTGTCAGTAAATGTCCAGTGGTGGGTCCTGCCCCTTGTGTCAATCCTCCGACTGCCACTGTGACATAAGGGTCCAAAAGCAGGGCTTGAAAAGAGCCAGAGCAGAAACAGACAAAAGTTCAAGTAATGCCCTGAATGACTGAATGCCTCTTCTGCCATCTAGTGTATAAAACTACACAATATTTCATCCAATGCAAAGACCAGTATGTGGAATCACCACCAGAAATGCATACAGGCCACCCCAGTTTTGCCTGTTTTTTATAACTCACATGAATACATGACACAAACAAGTTCAATATCTTCACAATTTCATAAACAGTAGGATTCGTCAACTAGCTGACTGACCAACTCCATGCCTAAATCTCACAATATTGTTCACAATATTGACCTTTGGCCACTTCCCTTTACCTTTGTTCTTCAAACATTTTAAAGATGTTTAAACAGCCAGGGAAAATAAACTAAAACGTGGAATTATTCCTAGCGCCTGAACATGTGAATTAATATGGTAAATATTCTCTTACAAGATTGTAGAGACCATATAGAATTTAACAGGACACAGGTCTCCATTTGCCTCAAAATGATCAGGTTTGGTGAAAGAATTCTTTTCATTTCATTTCATTCATACCCCACCCTTTTCCTTGCCAAAATAAGAGACTAGGTATATTCCACCAAAGCTTCTCTTTCCATAATCTATCTCTATCTTTCCATATCATACATTATACTCACTCACCAAATACTCACCAGCTTGAGTAGACTTCCGTCTGGCCTTCTTAATCTCCTCTTCTGTCTTGTTGCTGAGTTTTATCTCCAACTGTTGTGTTTTCAACTCTAAATCCTTCTGTCTCTCTGATAACGCTTTTCTGGCCTTGAAACAAACCAATAACCATAAATTCTCCACTGAAAAAGAATCAACATTTACTTCTTCCTTTTTGTGCAAGATTTATTATCTCTTAGAATAAATCACTGCCACATGGAACATGTGCCCTTGTTGGGGACATAACCAACAAAGAATCACTTGGATTCAACTTTTAAAACACTCACCTTTTCTACTGCTGCATACCGACTAACCATTTGCTTCCGCAAATCAGCAATATGATGGTCATACTTCTTCATGTCTTTCTTGAAGTTTTCACGGAAGTTGAGCAGGGGTTTCTCCACTTCACCCTGGAGCTGAAATAAACAATAAAGGAAGCAAGATTTAGGAATGGCTCAGTTTTGGAAATGGGGAGTCACTTGCTTATATCATGGGACTTCAAGGTGTGGTACATAACAGCCCTAAGTACCCATTCCCTCCACACTCTCTTCAAGCATGCAGTAGAAACACTCTGATGTTGACTGGAGCCAACACTCAAAGATAGATTATAATTATCTTTCTGCTCTTGTAGAGGTGGGTGGTCTTTTTTTCTCACGAGCAGGACCATGGAATTCATGGAATTATAGAACTAGAAGAGACCAGAACACCCATTCAGTCTAACCTCATTCTGCCATGCAAAACACACAACCAAACAATTCCTAACAGATGGCCATCCAGCTGCTAACAGTAGGTGAGACCTACCCATTTTCTCTTTCTGCTACCTTTCTTTTCCTTTTGTCCATCTCAGCAGGCTGCCTTGGAAGAAATATGCTTGCACTCACCAACTATCTGAACTAACAACTTAAGAGTGATCTGCATGAAGCCCTAGCAATCACATGCATCACTTGGACATTGGACTGTCCTACTACTAAATTCCTAATGGGTTTTGCTTTTATAGGAGAGAGAAGGGAAAGTAAAAGCCGGATAATGGCAATATCACTGTCTCCTTTTCTCACTTCCCTCCTGGCAAGCTTAGCAAAGGAACAGAAAAGATAGCTGGGAGAGCTGAACATAGATTTCCCAGTCATATTTGGTTTGGTCCTCAGATATCACCACAATCCTTGCTGGGAAAGCCCTTCCTTGAAGAAAAGGAGGTCATTTTCTGACAATTCTAAAGTAATCAGATGTAAAGTTAATTGACAGGCAGATTTTTAAATTTAAAGAATAAATCCAGAGCATTATTACAGCACCAACAGTATGACCTTTACTAATTTAATACAGGCTAAAAGTTTACATTTTCTGAACAGAATTCATTGTTTTTATTACTACACACACTGCCAACTCCTGACTCAGATTATGTTCGTTTCAAATTGCTTGCAATAGTTGCAGCCATCGGGATAGGCAAATTCAGTCTGCTGCATAATCTCATAGCAACTTGGATAAAGAGCTGTGAACAAATATTCAGCTGACGCACTGAAGGATCAGCCTTGGGATAGCTGTGGGCGCCTTCATATTGTGCACTGATAAAAGAAGGCAGATGAGCTAGTAGTTTCCTTCTGAAGAAGTGCTGTGACAGCACAGAAGAAACAGTTTGTAGAAATCTGATATGCAGAAAAAATCAAATGATTCCCCACATACACATGAAACAGTTACCACATATCTTGTGTACTCAGACAATCTGAAATTGACAAACTTATATGTTGTGATCCAAAGAAAACCACGACATAAAATTTATCAGACAAAAACACAAGATGTTCCTTGAGGACCTTGTCATACCAGAAGGGAAACACTCTCTACTTGTCCCATTAAAGGATAATTCACAATGTCTTACATACCCTGCATGTCTTCAAGCTATTGATCTTGGAACAAGACTGCTTATTCTTTTGAAATGAAAAAGAATCCAGTTAACCATATTTCAAACCATGACTTAAAGAGGAGATTTAACCATATGTTTAAACATATCCAGACTATCTAAAAGACTATGGGCTCATCTACACTGACCATTCATTCATTCATTCATTCATTTACTGTTCATAGCACCCCTGACAGATGGCCATTCAGGCTTTTAAACAGAGGCTGGATGGCCATCTGTCAGGGGTGCCATGAATGTGATTTTCCTGCTTCTTGGCAGGAGGTTGGACTGGATGGACCACAAGGTATCTTCCAACTCTATGATTTATACCCCACCTTTATCAATCCTGTAGGGGATTCAAGGTGGCTTACATATATAGGCAATGATTTGATTCCAGGTAAACATACATACATAGTAAAAGAAGCATATACATTAGGTCGGAGTGTACCTGGATCAACCCCATGGCAGCTAAACGCCACAAATGACTGATCTGACTTAACCAGGGGCAAAGCCACATTAAGGTGGTTTCCCCCTGAGTTAAGCTAAATTGGGTCAAATCTGGAATCCTTTCTCCCAATTTAGGATTAGTGAAGACAGATGTGCTGGTTTCTAACCAGAACTGTCATGACTGGCATCCTAAGTTCCTTGGGCTTAAGTGGCCCAGGGACATGGGATGGCAGTCCTCTTGTCATTCCTCTCCAGCCCTCATGCCATGGCTGCCATGTCCTGCCATGACACATCAACCATGGTGCCAAAGAACATGGTTGGGAATTGCCTGGGATGCTGGATCAAGCCCGTATTTTGTGTCAGTTTCAAAGGGCCCTATAAGAGATTCCTCACATTTTAAAATCTTCAGGGGAAGGCTTTCTCTCATCACAAGCATGTCTGCTGAAGACTTGGGAGAAAGTCTTCCTGGTGGATGCCCCATATTCTTGATTGTCCTTGTCTCTGCTTTCTTTTTGCCGGCACTAAAAACCTTCTTATTTAAACAGGGCATCAACTGTTAACTAGTTGAGTTAAATAAGCATGCTGGTTCATAACGTGCAAGACATTTTAAGTGGATTGTTTTCTTTAACTTTAACTTTTGTTCTGAAGTGTTATTTTAGCTATATTTTGAAATTAACAGTGGGATATAAATTAAGTAAGTAAAAAACAGATGATAGATAGATATCTCATCATAAAAGGGCAATTTTAAAATGATGAACTTTGACAGCACCAGTCCCTAAAGTTGCTTATGTTATTTTATTAAAAAGCTGGGGACAAACCACACTTCAGTGATATAGTGCATGTTTTGTATGCAGACGGTTCCAGGTTCAAAACATTTATCATTTATTGGAAAGGACATTTAGTATATTGCCAAGTTTTTAAATCTTTGTGTTTAAAAATGCATTTTATCTGTACCCTCAATTTGCTTCTGACATGATAAATAAATAAAATAAAATTTGGAAACAGCAATTAACTGGGTTCTTTCTGTTCCATAAATATTCCTAAAGCAGTTCTTGTATGAAGACATCTGACACATATTTAAGTTTTGTGAAGGGGACAAAAATAAGCCAATAATAATCCCACAAAGAAGAGTCAGTAATATAAAAGCAACTACCTTGGAAGAAAACTTGAGATGAACCTCTGCCTCATCAGCCAGGCTTTTCTTTAGCTGAGACCATGACTCCCCGAGTGTCCTGAAACATACAACAGACGGGACTGGTAGTAAAATTAACTTTTCCCAGAAAAATAGCTTCTGAATTCCTTTATTGCTCTAACTGGAACAAGAATTCCACATACTTCATATTATGGCAACTACAGGTCCTCGGAGAGTGGACCCAAAACACAAAATTTAATATTATCTTACATAATCTTTTTCTCCAGGTTCATGTTCATATTCACAAGTAGGAGAGAAGATACGGTAATTGTGGATGTCTCCAGAGAAATTTCATAGTTGCGCATCGCCCGCCTCTTCTCCATTCCTGTCAGCTCAGAATTAATAACTTTTGCTCTCACAGTCCCTTAGCACTACTGGGGCTTGTAATTGCCATTCGTTTGAGATAAACCACTACTCTCTCTCCCCCCCGCCACCTGTTCTCTTATTTGTATTTCAACTCATTCAGTAGAGGAAACTAATGGCTCTCGCAGCTAATGAGTTGTGTGCATAAAATTATATGTTTGAAATACCAAAAGGGGCATCTATCCATAAACTCAGGGGCAGTATACGAAGTAGCTGTAAAATGTTAATTAACTCGAGAGAATTTCTCTTCCGGACCCCCAGTATATTTAGGGTTAAGTACCTTTACTGTAATGAGTGTTTAATGACTTCAAGGAAAGATTGGGTACTTTAATGAGGTGGTTTACTTAGTAACACATAAAATGGGGAAATGTCAAATAGTTGAAAAAAGTCAACAGCATGAAGAATGCAATAAATCTAATCAAAGTAAAGAAAAGAAATTAAATGACTTTTATCAGACAATTGAAGGGACGGTGTCCACAATCTCATGAGAGCGAGTGTAGTATAATTGTAACTTCTCATGCATCAGTCCTAAGAAACCATCTTTTATTCTTGAGCTGTGGGGTATTTTTTGACCTTAATGAGAACACTAATGCATTGCCATTCATGTTAACACTGCAATTAGAGCTGAAAAGAAAAATATATACTTGCATAATAATATAAAAAAATTGTAATATTGAGCTACCTTGTATGTTAGTGGCAAGTTTGTAAATAATGTATAGAAATTACTTTCAAGCCCAAACCAGCATAACAGAACCAACTATGTTCAGGAAGTGAGACCGAGTCTTATATCTGGGGTGCAAAGAAAGAAAGAAAGAGTTTTGCTGAAAATGGATTGGTTCTTTCATATGCAGGAAAGTAAGAAGTTGTGATAATCTACTGGACATCTTTAATAAACTATATAAATTGCAACTTAGGCCCCATCCTCACTGACCCTTTAATGCGGTTTGAAGCTAGCTTCCACACAATGAACTCCAACAAAAGCACAAAAAGAAAGTCGTTAATGTGCATCAGTACTCTGTGCTTTGTGTGGTTAAATATGGTTTACTGACCCAAGCATAATAGACCTAGTTAATCAATGAAACTCATGAAAATCCTCTCTGTTTGTTTAGTTTAGTTTGTTCTCCTCTATTAGGAAATAACAATTACATTTGCCACACAATGTTCAGCTGTTTTTCTTCATAAATGTATAATAAGATTTCAGAATATAAATTAAATATGCGCTCTAGAGCCAAAAACACAAATAATCTCCAACATTTCTTTGTGTTACTAACAATGTGCCAATAACAGAAAGCCAACTAGGATCACAAATCTGGCAAGAAAGAATGAGGTTAACATTCTAACTTAGTGTTAATATTACATCTCCTTTAATGCCAAGTGTTCAGCACATCCATGCACAAACTAAATATATCTCCTCCCCAGGTTTTGCTTTGATTTTTTTTACTGTCATCATAGCTTTTCAAAATTCTACTCACTCCCACCCTAAAGTAGAGAATGCTAAAGAAGGGTCAATTGATGCTCCCCCATGAGTAGATGGGAAAAGGAAGTAAGGGAGTTTGCAAACCATCGATTATATATACACACAGAAGCACAGAGGAGTCCAATGAGAGAAGGGAAAGAGAAAGATTGACTCCCAAGTGGAAGCTAGCTTATACATCACTGGATTTCACACTTATTAATTTATTGCAGGATACAGTAGGATCTTGGTATCTATTGTGGCTAAGGGTATTCCCTCTGGCTTGGCCCATTTGAATTTTTGCACTTTCCCTCAGCTTCACTTAGGAATCATTGCACTTACTTGAGCCCAGACCCAGCTTTGATTTTGTTTTCAGCCATGATATTGTTTTTACTACGTTGTTTTTATGATTGTGTTATGTTTTTATTTGATTGATTTTAATATGGTTGTTTTTATTTGTAATTTTTGGGCTTGTCCCTTGTAAGCCGCCCCGAATCCCCTTGGGGAGATTGTGGCAGGGTGTAAAAATAAAGCTGTTGTCATTATTATTATTATTTTACTGACACAAAAGCACAGTATGTCACAGCAAACAAGATCTATATGCTGGATTTTGTATCAAAAAATCACAAGTCGAACACTTCCCAAGCGTGTAGGACTGTGTGATGTATTTTTGAATGATGTGTGCAGATCCAAGTAAGGTGGCCTTTTGCAGTTGACAGATCGTGATTTTGTTGATGTTTATTGTTTCCAAATGCTAGCTGAGATCTTTTTGCATGGCACCCAGTGCGCCAATGACCACTGGGACCACCTGTACTGGTTTACTGACTCCGAAACAAAGGTAAACATTCATTTGAACTGAGGGTGCTTCCAGGTAAACACATTTCTCAGGTGTTGATATCCACAGGAGTAGGACAAATATGTGTGATTACAAAGAGGCCACAAAAAACTTTTAACTGTCTTCTTGACTTTTCTCCTTATTAACATCTTTATGGAATTATGGTGATCAGAAACAAATAGTCTGGATAATACTATTACTTTCTTATTTTTTAAAAAAGAAATGCTCACATCAGCACAAACAAAATGGTGCTATGAGCCTAAATCCCATCAATGGAAACTTGGCAAATCAACACTTATGTAAATTCTGTTGAAACAGTGAGTTTACATTTAGCTGGGACTAATAGTTGAATTTAAGCCACTCTGGCTCAGTCTATTGATTCGAATACCTAAACATTTCTCCGCAATTCTGGCCCAAATGCTGGTATGCCTACTGTACCCAAACAGGGGCAAGAGGGGATGTGAGAGGAGATTTGTTGTTCAGGCAGCTATTTGGTTACATTAATGGAGGGCTGTCCCAGAAAAGATCTTGCACTGAGTCAATCAAGAGTTCTCATTAGCTCTGGACTTTCTTTAAGGTTAGATTGAGGTGCAACATCCGCTTATCCCTTGTCTTCTTTTGTCGCCTTCTTGACAACAACAGCATTTGGTAGCCAGTTAACAGGTTTAAGGAAGAATTTTACCATTCAGCTATCCAATTTGTTAGTTATGTGCTAGTGTCCAAAAAAGTAAATAGGCAGAATGCTCCTATAGTTTAATGTAGATTCAAGGAGTCAAGGGAAAATGTTATCTAAATAAAGCCACATAAATTGAATTTTTTTGGCCACCAGACCTGCAAAAACATGCACTTACCCTTCTTCCTGGGCAGCCAAGGAGCTTTGTGATAATTTGGATAAGTTCTTGGCATATTCTTCTTCAATCTTTATCCTGTAGAGTTCAATAATAACAGCAGAAATGTATTATTTAGGAGGAAAGCATCTCACAGTACAATGCAATGTATTTTAAAATCATCCCTTGAGAACATTTATGTTTTTACAAATACTCTTTTATCTGAAGATCTTATCACACAGAATAGCTATTCTCATTCTCACAAATTCATGGAAGTCTAATAAGATTTGGACCTTCAATCCTCATTCTACATGTCAGTAGGTGATGAAATATCTTATCTTCAATATATCTTTTTCAAATCGTTCCAACAGTGTTTGCATTTGATTTTGTCCTATTGTGTCTACTTGCAAAAGTTTATGTCTAAGTTTATTTACACGAGTATAAAAGTGTTGGACGAGTGCCTGGCCGCCGTGTCTATCTGGATGAGGACGAACAAGCTGAAGATCAATCCCGACAAGACAGAGGTCCTCCTGGTCGATTGCAAACCAGATCGGGGTATAGGATGGCTACCTGTGTTGGACGGGGTTACACTCCCCCTGAAGCCACAGGTCCGTAGCTTGGGCGTCCTCTTGGATTCATCGCTAACGCTTGAGGCTCAGGCGTCGGCGGTGTCCGGGAGGCCTTTTGCACAACTGAGACTTGTGCGCCAGCTGCGTCCGTACCTCACGAAGGCTGATCTGTCCGGGGTGGTCCATGCCTTGGTCACCTCTAGATTGGATTACTGCAATGCGCTCTATGTTGGGCTGCCCTTGAAAACGGCTCGGAAATTCCAACTGGTCTAACGAGCAGCGGCCAGGATGTTAACCGGAGCTCATTACAGAGAGAGGTCAACCCTCCTGTTTAAGGAGCTCCACTGGCTGCCGTTTATTTTCCGAGCCCAATTTAAAGTGCAGGTGCTTACCTACAAAGCCCTGAACGGTTTGGAACCACCCTACCTGCGTGACCGTATCGCTGTCTACGAACCCACACGCTCACTCCGGTCATCTGGAGAGGCCCTGCTCGTGATTCCGCCCGCGTCGCAAGCGCGCTTGGTGGGGATGCGAGACAGGGCCTTTTCTGTGGTGGCCCCCCGACTTTGGAACACCCTCCCGAAAGATCTCAGACAGGCCCCTACATTGGCAGTCTTCAGAAAGAATTTGAAAACCTGGCTGCTTGGACGTGCCTTTTCAGATTAGGAACCTCCAGCACCAAGTCCTAGAAGCACTTTAGTAGAACCAAGATCACTGCACACTGCACACACTTTTTAATCCTACATTCCTCCCGTCACATCAGCACTTTTAATCCTGTACCCCTACTCTTGCCGGCCCAGTTTTAATAGTGTCTTGTTGTATTGTTACTGTTATTGTTTTCTGCTTAACTGTTTTTAATTTGCTTTAGGTATTGTATTGTTGTATTGTTGTTTTGGGGCTTCGGCCTGTGTAAGCCGCATCGAATCCTTCGGGAGATGCTAGCGGGGTACAAATAAAGTTATAATAATAATAATAATAATAATAATAATAATAATAATAATAACAATAAAAGGATGCTGCTACTATGTAGCTTTTCACTTCAGTAGGGATATTCCAGGTGGACGTTGATCTTGTGGTGGAGACAGAGGTTCTTATATTCATATCTGATGGCACTGATCTCAATTGCTTCTGTGTTGGTATAAAGCGTTTGAGGAAACAGCTGTAATCATCAGCAAATGTCTACAATATCACGTGTTTTTGTCTTTTGTCTCTATTTACAGATGCTAACAAATTTCTGCACCAGAAAGTCCTGATAAGATTTTGTTGTTTAGCAGCAAGATTAATTATTTCACAAAATTGAAGAACTAAAATGCGTTATCAGTTTCACAATGAAATGAGATAACTAATAGTTAATGAACAGTTAATCAATCAATAAGCAATTCACAATTTACAAGTACTAATTAACACTTTGACGCATTAACCATTTTATATACTAACTTTTCATAGATGGATGGGACACATACTGATTACAGACTGAGCATCCTTCATCTGGAATTCTAAAATCCAAAATACTCCAAAATTCAAAATTGTTCATATGGATGGCTAATATAGTAATATTTTTGCTTTCTGATAATTATTAAAGTATTGTGTATAAAATTGCTATCTGTATAAAGTATGCCTGAAACAAGATACATTTCATTCTTAGACTTTCATTCCTATTCCCAAAATATCTCCTTATGCATGTACATGCAAATATAGGTATTCCCTAATCCCTTACCCCAAAATTCGAAATCTAAAACACTTCTGGTCCCAACCATTTTGGATAAGGGATACTCAACCTGTATGAGTGTCACATACTAAATTATCCATGTGTTGATCAGAACAAACAAGCACCGATCCTGTTATTTTGCCTTCATTATTCCACTTGGTAGTTCTGTGTTTTCCAGATAAAGCTCAATCTTTTCATTGGGAAAACCAATGCAAGGGGTCCACTGACCTTCATAGTTTCATCTTTTTTTATGGAAGTGTCTATTAAATTGATGGGTATCTGTAATTATTGCCCTCCCAACCCAGAAAGCTCTCCCAGAGCCTCATAAATGTAACTACTGACAGGAAGTGCTAAGCACAGGGAGATATCTGGTCCAACCAATGGTGTAACATTCCTGTTCTGCCAACAGAGTTGGATTAAAAAGTCATACCTAAGTTAACTAAGAAAGATGGGGTGGTTGTCATTGATCTACTTAAGACAGGATTGATGGGTGAATGTTTGGGTAAATAAGAGGACACAGAATCTTGAAAAGTGGAATATTAAGAAAACAGAAATAATGATTGCGGATAATTTACAAAGCTTTAAAGTGGGTAATGAAGACACTGAAATAGTTATAGGTTAGCTATTCTTTGGTTCAGACATAAGTCAAACTGCAGATAGCACTCAAGAAATCAGACAAAGGCCAAGGGTGCATCTCGACTGGACAGAAATGGTGAAGCTGATCTGGAGTGCATCTCGATGGATTGTCACCTTGCCGTGGTGAGAGGGCTTGTGTGTTCAATGAATTGCGGGTGTAATCACATGCACTCTCAGTGGGTGCCGCAGGAGAGGTTCCAGACTGAGAACAATCTGAAGACCTCAATGGTGGATCAGGCAGAAGATGACATGGTACATATTACAATGACTGTGAAGGCACAAGAAGGCTGCAACAGATTGAGAAGCTACCGTCATTGTGTTAACCATGCCACTGGTTGCGGTCCTCACTCTGTGAAGACTGTGTGTTGATTGGCTGTGCACTGACCTCCAAACATTAAAAAAAACTCATGTACATGCATCTTCCAAGAACTTGGAAGGCCATCATACTCGGACAACAAGGGATCACCTAAGTAATTCTGGATCAGCATCACTGGATGTTACACTCCCAGAGTGAGCTCAGGACCTGGATGATGGTTGCATGGCCCCAAACTGGCTGGGTGGATGGATAGTGGCCATATGGTTGATTGGGGCCAAACTGTTGAGCAGCGACCCTTAACTTGCCCTGTCGATCTGACATTTGCAATACCCACTGAGCCCAAAAATGGTTCTGGACACTGCTTGGAGTGGCAATATCCAGAGAAATGATATGATGTTGAAGGAAAGGGGGAAAGAAGGGGAAAGCACTGATGCCACCTCAGGGGTCCAGTTGCCCCTGGCCACCACCACTTTCCTGCTCTGGCATTTAAAAGGCATTTTGCTACTCCACTCAGGGAACAGGATGATTTCTTTTTTATATATAAAAATTAAGGTAAAGGTTTCCCCTTGACATTAAGTCTAGTTGTGTCCGACTCTAGGGGATGGTGCTCATCTCTATTTCTAAGCCGAAGAGCTGGCATTGTTCGTATATGCCTCCAAGGTCATGTGGCCAGCATGACTGCATGGAACACTTTTACCTTCCTACTGAAGTGGTACCTATTGATCTACACACATTGCATGTTTTCAGACTACTAGGTAGGCAGAAGCTGGGGCTAACAGCAGGAGCTCACCCCGCTTCCCGCACTCAAATTGCAAGTTCAGCAGCTCAGTGGTTTGATCTGCTGTGCTGGAAGGGGAGCCATCCATTCTCTGAGCAGAATTAAATTGACTCATGGATCAGTCGTCCCAGATTTTTGGTTGATATTTTTAACTAAAATGTCTAGACCTTTACATGTGTATGTACAGTACACTCCTTCCAGACTTTTCCAATAAATTGTTATCCTCAATATGTATGAAACAACAAGATAATAGTATTGTGAAAAGGTTACAATACTTATAAATGTAGTTTTATAAATATGTTGTTAAATGATACATTGCTTAAGCTCTCTTGTTCTTTCCATTAGCTTCATATGACCAATGAACTGGAAAAATAAGCCTACTAATCCTGCTACTGAGAGACCACCTCTTGCACTCTTGGGCTGAGCAGATGCTCACTAGCCTTATACTCAAGAACTTCCATTGGGATTTATTTTTTAATTTATCGTGTCAGTATCAACCCGTATTTATCGTGCCAGTATCAACCTCATTCCATTGGGATGAGGAAGTTTTTTTTACTTCATTCATCATGTCATAATTATCATGGTTGAAATGGAGCAAGGCTTTAATTTTTGAGTGATTATTAGGAAGACAATGTCTGCTCTTGGAACAAACTGTTCTAGGCCCCAGTTGCAACCTCCGGAGAAGCAAATCTCCCTGCTATTATTATTTAGTAGAACTATTTATAACAATGCTCTTTTGCTTATAAGACTAGTTATAAATAATGAGCAGCTATAAATAATAACTGTTTATCTTTTTCTCTTGCGTTTCATGTCCTGAAGATATTTTGGATTTTTTTTTCATGTTCTGGCAAGCCGTAGTTATGGGGGGGGGGGGGGGGGGGGGGGGGGGGGGGGGGGGAGAGGATAGAGTGTACGTGTGTTTGAATATAATGGGGTGAGATTTCTTAGATGTGGCAAAGTCACTGAGAAGCTTATCCCCATGGAAATAATGAACTGAAGGCCACTTCTCTTTTTCTCTGAGATAAAGAGAAAAGCGGTTCCTTAACCATTACAGAAAGAGATTTTTTTTCAAATTAGGCAACATGGGGAAAATGTAATATTTACAAGAGCTGTGTTTCTCGATCTTCCTAATGCCAAGACTCCTTAATAAAGGTGCTCATGTTGTCGTGACCCCAACCATAAAATTATTTTCATTGCTACTTCATAATAGTAATTTTGCTACTGTTATGAATCGTAATGTAAATATCTGATATGCAGGATGTATTTTCATGTACTGGATCAAATTTGGAAGAAACACCCAATACACCCAAATTTGAATACTGGTGGGATTGAGGGGGGGGGGGGTTGATTTTGCCAATATAGTTCACCTATAATCAAAGAGCATTCTGAACACACCAACAATGGAATTGAACCAAATTTGGCACACACAACTCCCATGACCAACAGAAAATACTGGAAAAGTTTGGTGGGCATTGACCTTGAGTTTTGGAGTTGTAGTTCACCTACATCCAGAGAGCACTGTGAACTCAAACGATGATGGATCCAGACCAAATTTGGCACGATTACTTAATATGTCCAAATGTGAACACTGGTGGAGTTTGGAGAAAATAGGCTTGACATTTGGGAGTTGTAGTTGCTGAGATTTATAGTTCACCTACAATCAAATAGCATTCTGAACCCCACAAATGACAGAATTGGGCCAAACTTCCCACACAGAATCCCCAGAACCAACAGAAAATACTGTTTTTCTGATGGTCTTTGGCGATCCCTCTGACATCCCCTGGTGACTCCCCCCCAGGGGCCCCAACCCCCAGGTTGAAAAACACTGTACTCGAGTGTGGCCTGAGTTTTGAAAATTTCACAGGTCAAGCTTATGATTTCTAGAGACGCGGARCTGGAAATGGGAGACCCATTCCATGCTGGAAACTAGGGTTTGAATCTCCTCTCAGCTTTGGCAACCCACTTGGGGGGGGGGGGGGCTCCAGGCCAGTTTGCTTTCCCTAAATGCAGCTCCTAGACACCTGTAGAAACAGTAATTGTTGCATCTTGTTTTCTCCTTTCAAAACTGGAAGTGAACATTGTTGTTTTGTTTTGTTTTTGTTTTGGACGGGAGAGGATAATAATTTTGACTGGGGGAAAGACCATCAAAACTGGTCCCTCCAAAATGTCTTACTATCCCAACAAATTGTACACTGTCTTTCACAAACCATGAAGTCTAAAACCAGATATCTGTGTTTAAAGCAGAATAATTTAGCAATGTGAACCTGATGGCAAAAGACTGGATTTTACCCAGAACTGGATATAAAAGCATTTGCACAATGCTAATTGCAGAACTGACTGAGGGAGGATGTTTCCTTTTGGGACTTTTATTTATACTTCACTGTAAACATTTAGACCTATGAGAGTATAAAAAGTGAGGAGAAGGTATTGCAGTCAACTCTGCAAACTCACAGATTTTCTATCCACAAATGGAACTATCTAGGGCTTGAAAATGTTCACATACAAAAATTCCAAAAGGACAAACATTGGGTTGCTGCGGGTTTTCTGGGCTGCATGGCCATGTTCCAGAAGCATTTTCTCCTGATGTTTCACCCATATCTATGGCAGGGATCCTCAGAGGTTGTGAGGTCTGTTGGAAACTAGGCAAGTGAGGTTTTATATATCTGTGGAATGTCCACAGATGTATAAAATATTCTTGTCTGTTGGAGGTAAGTGTGAATGTTGCGATTGGCCACTTTGATTAGCACTGAATGGCCTTGCAGCTTCGAAACCTGGCTGCTTCCTGCCTAGAGGCATCCTTTTTTGGGAGGTGTTAGCTGGTCCTGATGGTTTATTCTCTGGAATTCCCGTTTCTTGAGTGTTGTTCTTTATTTGCCGGCCTGATTTTGAAATTTTTAATACTGGTAGCCAGATTTTGTTCATTTTCAAGGTTTCCTCCTTTCTGTACAAATTGTCCACGTGTTTGTGGATTTCAGTGGCTTCTCTGTGTAGTCTGACATGGTGGTTGTTAGAGTGGTCCAGCATTTCTGTGGTCTCAAATAATATGTTGTGTCCAGGTTGGTTCACCAGGTGCTCTGCTATGGCTGAGCCGCCAAACATTTATTTTGCCATTTTTTTATATAAGGGACACTGTTTTATTGTACCATTGTATACAGCAGGACCTGAGTTTTGGGATAAATGGAAAGTTCTGGAATAAAACCCCAACAGATATCTGGGTACCACTGTGTCATATTTCTGTAATGATATATCAACAGCCAAAATTGTACACCATTCACCATTATTGTTCTTCAGGGCAATATTTCAAGACTAGATATACTCGAATAATGAAACAGCATATCAATAAAATACAGAAGAATCAAACTTAACAATAGCAACGAAATCTCAAGTTACCTTTCCCGAATAAATTCAGCCATTTCTTTCTGCATTTGCTTTCCCTTCAGCTGTTTTTGGAGAAGAATTTCAAATCCCGAGACCGTACTGTTTCCTTGAGGATCCTTCTTATCAGTCTAAAGGAAATAAACAGCCAGGACACATGTGGTTAAAAACACTTGGGCCTAAAACCTATTAATTAATCCATTAATAGACTCACTAAGGGATGCAGATACATCATAAAATTAATGCAGTTTAATACCACTTTTAACTGTCATGGCTGAATGCTATGGACTTCTGGGAATAGTAGTTTGGTGAAGCACCAGCACTATTTGGTGGAGAAGGCTAAAGACCTTGAAAAACTGAAACTACATGATTCCATAGCACTGAGCCATGGCAATTAAGGAGGTGCCAAACTGCAGAATAGATGCAACCTACATTTCCTCTTGAATGGGAAGCCAAACACTTAAGGATGCCCCACTGATTCAATGGCTCTGCTGTAGTTATTCTATTGCACTACAACATCAGTTCTCAATTAATATTAGTATTAAGGTGTTAGGCTTCAACGTTTGGCAAAAGAACCCTCATATGTTTTGGAGAAATATCCCAAATGCACTATAGGTCACAAGCTAGCAAACCAATACTCTGGCATTAAACATTTCTTTTAATTAACATCACACTTGATGCTAGCAGATTTTTGAAGCGTGTCAGCTAGGATTCCCTGGAAATAGCAGGCCATTGCCACTAGAGGCTGCTCTGGCATACAGAAAACAGGCACCTAAACAGAGCTGACCTCAATTTCTGTGTCCATAACTTCCAATAATGCTAATATAAGGGGAATAAAGCCCAGGATTGTGGTGGAATTAAGAGGAAACCAAGATCAGTGGATCAGTGACAGACAGAGTTAGTATTTCTCAAACTATCATTCAGACCTTTTGGTCCTGAATAGGTAGCCACGGCCAGAATAATTTTACCAGCCTTCACTACCAAGTTAAGACTTCACTACCAGCAGGACTGAAGACGAACAAGTCACAGGTTCGAATCTGGGGAGAGTGTGGATGAACTCCCCTCTGTCAACTTCGGCTCCCCATGCGGGGACCTGAGAGAAGCCTCCCACAAGGATGGTAAAACATCAAAACATCCAGGCATCCCTGGGCAATGTCCTTGCAGATGGCCAATTCTCTCACACCAGAAACGACTTGAAGTTTCTCAAGTTGCTTCTGACACACACACACACACACACACACACACACACACACACAACTACAAAGTTACAAACTGCTTCTAAATGGCTAGAAGAATAAACAAATGCTGTTTGGCTGGAAAAGTGTCAGTCCATTTTCTTGGACTCCTATACAGCATTCCCTTCTTATTACAAGAAGCAACGTGGCTATCTTTTTTTGAAGGATCTCCCCTGATGGCAAGATACCATGGCCAAAATAGGAACCAGATCCTGTCTGATCTTGGAAGCCAAGCAAGGTCACCTCTAGTTAGTACTTGGATGAGAGACTACCAAAAATACCAGGTGCTGTAAGCTAATGGCAAAACCACTTCTAATTATTTATTTATTTACTTATTTACTTTGCTTATATACCGCTGTTCTCAGCCCAGGGGCGACTCACAGCGGTGTATAACATAGAAAGAACAAGGTTCAAAATACAAGACACAATATAAAATAATCCACAGTCCATCATTAACAAAAAACATCATCATAAAAAAAAACCATCGTCATTATAATTATATCACTAGTTCCCAACCTTTGGGCCTCCAGGTGTTTTGGACTTCAGCTCCCACAATTCCTAATACCTATAAGATGGCTGGGATTTCTGGGAGTTGGGAGTCCAAAACACCTGGAGGACCAAAGGCTGGGAACCATTGGATTATATATTGCTTAAGAAAACCCTATAAAATCCATGTGATGACATAAGGCATATATACACAGAAACAATGGCAAAGAGGCTGAATTTGGTAGAGGGCAAAGCAAGGCTGCAAGCAAGGTTGATCTTCTGTAAGTGTATGCATGTTGCCCAGGATTACATCAGGTGGTTCATTTTAAATACTGGAGCCCCCAGTGGCAGAACCCTTGTGCTGGCTGAACTGCTGACCAGCGATTCAAATCCAGGGAGAGCGGGTTGAGCTCCCTCTGTCAGCTTCAGCTCCTCATGCAGGGATATGAGAGATGCCTCCCATAAGGATGCTAAAACATCAAAAACATCCCGGTGTCCCCTGGGCAACGTCCTTGCAGACAGCCAATTCTCTCACACCAGAAGTGACTTGCAGTTTCTTAAGTCACTCCTGACACACACACAAAATAATTAAAATACTTTCCATGTGAAGTTTCAGAATGCAATTCAGAATATTCTAGTCATTTTCCCTTGATTAATATAGCTTTACCAGAATCAGGTTCTTGAAGAAGAGAACAAGCTGTGCAGCATCTTACGCACCACCTTTCAAGCTTGGAGTTTAACATGTTTGCTAACAGAGATGCTGGCAATATGTGGCATCCTCTGTAAAGCTCGGCTGCTGCAGTAAATAGCATATGGGTGCCTGTTCACTTACCCAGAAATAATCACAGTAGCTCCATTCGGAAGGTTTCAGCAACTGCTGTTCTGGCATTGCGTCTGGGTGGGGGAAAGTCACGCAGTTTATCTGAGAAAAAAGAAAGAAAAATATTTTGGATATGAAGAGCAATTCAGAAACTAGAAAACAGGGAATGTATACTTAAAAATACATCTATTTAGAAGTTGTGGTCAGGGAATGCAATGCTCTCTCTAGCCAGAAGGTGTCATAGAAAGCAGACAGAAGAAAACCACGGTGATGTCTGCAAAACAAACACCAAGCAGGGCAGCATTTCTTAACCATCACACCAAATGTACCTAGTTGTTTTGTTATTTGATAGAAAAAAATCAAATAAGATTGCACAGAACCAGTTGAAAACATGCTTTTCTACTGAATTATTTTTGCTCCCCCTCAAAACTGATTTGGGTGTTTCTTCTCAAAATAAATCTTCAAATATGCTTCAGATGTTTACTTCAGTGCCAATATTCAAATGGCAACCTTAGGATCTTCAGATTACTGGCTGAATTAATATTTTCAGACACATTAAATGTGATTATTTCTCTTGCGTCTGCACAGAGTTTTCACTCAAGCAAAAGCTTCAACACTTGCCTCACAATTTTGTGCTTGGTGAATTCTGGCAGCAACTTTAAACAAAACTATTGCTTACTTGGATGCTCTAGTAGTTGCTCTATAAGTGAACAACTAGGTATTATAAAATAATCTGTGCCAGAAATACAAAGAAAGCTTGTGTGAAGCGAATGGACATACTGGAGAAAGAACAGCTGACAATTAAGGAAATTAAAGAAAAACACAGTTGACTTCCTCAGATTCCAAGTCTGTCATATCTATTTCTGCTCAAGCTCTACAAATAGGAAAAACTGACTTGTTAAAAATGCACATGGTTTCAAGTTGTTTTAACTTTTAGCCCTACTTTAGTTTATTAAATTTATGTTTATTTACATTGTTTAGTTGTTTTTAATTTTAAACTGCTTTCAGCTGTTGAGCTGATTTTATACATTGAATTGCCTGAGATCCTTAGACATGGAGTAGTATATAAATATTGCAGTAAATAAAACAGTGAATGAAATCTGGTGCAATGAACATAAACCACTTTCACTGGAACACTGGAGGTAGGCACAGTATATGAATGCCACCTCGACACAGATATCTTGTTCATTACTCCTTATCTGTACAGAAATTATATATAATGGTGTATTTGTGATAATATCTTTCAGGTGAAAAGAGGTTCTTCACACATGGGGATGGGGAGAACTTAGTGAATCGCCCAAGTGTTTTTATACAAATGCATACAGATCGTAAAAGGTAAAGGTAAAGACTTCCCCTTGACATTAAGTCTAGTTGTGTCTGACTCTGGGGGGTGGTGCTCATCTCCACTTCTAAGCCAAAGAGTCAGTGTTGTCCATAGACACCTAAGTCATGTGGCCGGCTGTATGACTGTATGGAGCGCTGTTACCTTCCTACCGAAGCTGTACCTATTGATCTACACACATTTGTATGTTTTCAAACTGTTAGGTTGGCAGAAGCTGGGGCTAACAGCAGGAGCTCACCCCGCTTCCTGGATTCGAACCGCCAACCTTTTGGTCAGCAAGTTCAGCAACTCAGCAGTTTAACTCCACTGCATAATGAGTGGACCCATACAAATCCTACAGGTGGATTATAATAATATGTGGGATGCATGATGAACAATATGCATGGAATGAGATACATGCAGATCCATGCCTTGCAGTGGAAGTCACAATGTTGTTGGACTGCCATTTCCACCACTTCTGTCCAGCATAATCAACGGTGAGAGATAACAAAAATTTGATTGCAAGAATATCGGGAAGGGCACAGGATTCCCAATGCTGTCCTACAAGAAACTTCCGATGGAAAAAAATCTGTCGTGTATACTGCAGCATTTTGATGGAGTGGTTGGCCAACATTTCAGAAGTTGCATTTTAATGTATATATTTTTAAAGCATAACTGAATGCTACCCCACTTCGTAATACTCTGAGTAATTACATTCATGAAGCCCGCCAGAAAGCACTTATTTAAATTTATAATCCAACCAGTTCCTTCATCTCAAGACAAGCAACAGCACACCCAGATGCATGCCTAAATAGCAGGTCCTTGTCGGTTTGGGAGATTAGCAAGCAAAAGCTTTGATGAAACCTTCCAAAGCCAAAGGGCAAGCAAAACAGTCTCTTTAGGTGCCCTTAGTGTTACTGCCACATTACACTTGGCAATGGAGAACATTATCAAAAGGCTAGAAGAGACACTTTGCATATATCCTGCAAAATGTGCACATAGAGAAGGGAAAGAGGAAATGAGCATGTTCTTGTATATAGTTATTCCACATCCTCTGTTCTATAGGGATTGGTATGTAAATTCTATCGAACTTAGGATACAGAAAAGCGAAGATTATTAACTTTGTGGTACAATAGGAGAAGTCTGGAAAATTACTGTTTTAAACTATGGCTCTATGACTATTTTGGACTATTGCTGGAGGATTCTAAGAACTGTAGTTCAAAATGAAATCCCAAGGTCTGGCTGCTGCATGTTGAAAACCTTACAAGCTAGAGAGACATCCTTGACTGCAATGAAACAGTTCTCCCTCCTGCTTTGGAAAAATATCTTATCTGTTTACTTTTGAAACAAAGATATATACTCCAATGTTGCTGACAAATGGGGAAGTACACACTGTCCAAAGATAAGTGCATTTTAAAGGACATGTCACTGAAATGGTGATATTATGGACAGTCAGTTATCTTTTTCTCTTTTTTCACAAGGATATGCAACTCTCCATAAGCAATCATACTTTCAAGCAATTAAAAAGAAACCATGATGTTAAAAATAAAAGTGAAATTATGATGATGGAGCTTCATGATCACAGTCACAAGTCATAATACACCACCAGCATCCCAAACTTCTGGAAGAATGGCATCTTCTGCAATTCTGGATATGGGGCACCTTGAAAGACCCTTTGGGGTCTTGAGAAAACTAATTGTGACCGGGGCTGTATCCATAATACACAATTATAGCAGTTTGACACCGCTTTAACTGCCATGGCTAAATGCCATGGGATTCTGGGATTTGTAATTTTGTTCAATAATCACCTTTCTTTGTCAGAGAGCTCTGGTGCCACAACAAACTACAAGTCCCACAATTCCATAGGATGGGGTCAGGGCAGTTAACGTGGTACCAAACTGCTATAAGTCTGCAGTGTGGATGTTCTGTAAGAGTTCACTGCAGATACTAGTGGCTCAATCTTTAGCATTTTAGAAACATTTCTGCCAGGTTGCTGCCAAGCTGTAAAAGGTGGATTTTTGAGGTTGTATTTGGTCGTTCATGACTGTAAATCTGAATTTCCAGAAGTTAAGATATTGCAAGACCAGCTTAACAAACTTACAATATTGTAACTCAGGCATGGGAAAACTTCATCTCTCCAGGTGTTTTGAACTTCAACTCTGGCTGTTAGGAATTGTGAGAGCTGAAGTCCAAAACACCTGGAGGGCCGAAGTTTGACCATGCCTGTTGTAACTGGTGCACAGGATACCATCCAAAGTTTCCTAAAAGAGTTTCAGTATTACTCTTTGACACAGGGAATATCCAAGTAATTCACCTTAACCAATAGAGAAAGATAGGACGTAAGTTTTACCTCTGTGCCCCTACTCCACATGGGCTGTGTGACACAACAATAAAGGTAAAACAAAATTTCTGGTCATTTCTAGGTTTCAGTTTTGCTTAGCTTCAGCCAATTTTTGGCAGTTTTTTATTTTGGAGATTTGGGGTTATGGGAGGCCCATACTGTGTGATTTTGGTGTGCTTTATGGTGCCTTGGGGACATTTTTTTCACCTTATTGTTTTAGTTTTGGGACTTTGGGCATGTTGTGAGGTGCACTGAGGAACTGCATGGGGTCCCCCAGGCACACTTCCTTCACACTTGCATAGAGATAATAGATCCAAGTGGTATCCATGGTAAGCACACAAAAACACATATATATCTGGTGCAGCTGGTCTGGTTATGCTCCTGGAGTTTGAATCTGCTTTCCCAAGATATATAGTTTGAAGCTGTGCAAAAGCCTAGACAACTGAGTTAACCAGTGGGCCAGATAGGTCGCAAATGGGAACACACAGACATAAAAAGTATCTACTGGGCATTACTGAAAAGGCTATGCTCTGCACTCAGGTGGAGTCTTGGGGGCAGCTGGGGGATTAGCAACACGAAAAGAGGGCTCTGGCTTTGCTTATGTTAACTGACACCCTGGTGATTGAGGAGGAACACAAGTTCCAAGAAAACTGCAATGGTAGAGCAGCTGCTCCATTCGCATCTCACAACAGGTTCTGCAGAGAAAGCAGGAAAAACTAGCTGACCACATTTGTCATCAAAACCATGCCTCCCAAGAGACAGCAGAGTAGTGTCAACAGTGGTGTCCAACATCTGTAGTTCCATAAGGCTCCCAGAAAGGACAAACTGCTTCATTTACAGTAATGAGTTTGCTTTGATATTAACACTTGTTGGCATTGATGGGATGCTGCTGCAAAAGGGATTGTCACTTGTACACAATTCAGTTTGTGGGCATTTCCCAGTGACTCAAACATCCCCTACAACCTCTTATCAGAGCACTGGCACTGGATAGGACCAAGTGCCAAGGATGCAATTTTCCTGATTCCTTGTTGGAAGAGCCACTGCTTCAGGGCACACAGCTTCAAGGCACACTATGTGTTTAAAGGATGTGCTATTTGCTGAAGCAGAGGAGAGCAGAAGAAGGATAACTTCTATAAAGGATATTCATGAAGCAGGGATTGGGAGAGAGAAGCCTTGTTTACATTGTTTATCAACTGGCTTCAACAGTATGCTGCAGGAGAACTGGTTACTAATGACAGAAACACTGGAGGGGAGATCTTAAGTCACTGCTGCATATTCCTTGTGGAGAAGAATACACAGCTAAACATACACTCTGGCTTGGTGTTATGTAAATGAACTCCACGAATCATCTGCCTTATTCATGCACCACTGCCTCTCCCTGAGTGCTTTCCAATCAGGGATTTATCACACTGATTTGTGGGAAACCACAGTTTGCTTCCATGTCTGAAAGAGATAGATTGTGGTTTGTGCTGTGAATCTTGTTATCTGTTTAGGTGTCCGTGCAAACTAGGATTTGCTAGTAAACCAGGATCAGGCATCCTTCATTAGGATATGAAAAATAAGCTGGATGGAAGGGGGGGATGCATGAGAAACCCCAAACTCCCTGTGGCTTCTTTCTGTATAGTGTCAATGCAATGTGGTTTTGGCACTATGTGTGAAAGGGTCCAATTTGTGTGTGGGGGGGGGGGGGGAATGCATGCCCTGCATTAAAGAATGGAATTTTTATTTTAAAAATCCACATATTTTAATGTGATACCAAATGCCTTCTATTATTTTTTTTAAGTATTTGCGATCACAAAAACTGTTTTGGGAAGAGACTGGGTACCTACCACTGGCATAGAAGAAAAAATGTGGTGTGCTGTTGATCCCGCAAAAAAGCAGTGACACTTGGATTGCTACTCCATAGGTAAAAAAATTTCCCTGATATTAAGACTAGTCATGTACAACTCTGGGGGTGGTAGTGCTCATCTCCATTTCTAAGCCAAAGAGCCGGCATTGTCCGTAGACACCTCCAAGATCATGTGGCCGGCAAGACTGCATGGAGTGTCATTACCTCCCAGCTGGAGCGCTACCTATTGATCTACTCACATTTGCATGTTGTCGAACTGCTAAGTTAGCAGAAGTTGGGGATGACAGTGGCAGCTCGCCCCACTCCCTGGATTCGAACCAGTGACCTTTCATTCAGCAAGTTCAGCAGCTCAGTGGTTTAGCCCACTATGCCACCGGGGGCTACCCCATACAATGGTCCTTGAAGGGTGATTTTGAACCTTATGCTAGCGATTTAGACTCTCAACCACTGATGTCCTTTTTAAGAAAGCCAGGCACCATCTTAAACATCCCTTAGAAAGCTGAAGAATCTTTGATTTTGTTATGAGATTCATAGCACTTGGGTGCCCATCATAACACACTGAAGCCTATCAGATCTCTGCTGCCATTTCTTCATCCAGCCCTGACTGAATGGGGTTATCCCTCAAGTAGGTGATCTTTACACAACCAGTTCCCCTGAGGTAACAGCCACTGAAGTCACTCCAGGCTGCAAATTCTTGATGCTGAAGGGATGAACCAGTGAGTGAAGAAGGCACCGAAATAATCAACAGCCCTGGGCAACACTAAGCTAATTCCCTTTCAACCTCAGATAAACGTAGCCATAACACTGTGTGATTTATTTTGGGTGTTCACAATTCCRTTGAGGGGGACAGGACCCTATGATTCATGATGAATGTGCAGCCCAGTCCCTTGACTGTTGTTCATGTTAAAGTCTATTTCCTATTCCTACAATGAAAATGCATTTGAAAGGGGGGGGGGGGGACAGAACAACAAACAAATGTTTTCCAGAATCCAGTGCAGAGACTGAATGTTCAATGGCAAAAGTGAGCACCAATCCCATTCACACAGAAAACAGAGTTGATACTAATCATCGCGTCATCATAGCCTAGTCGTCTGATGTTCTCCCCAACTCACAATGTTCCAATTCCCATTGAGGTATGTCATGTTGTTTTAACAAATTCCTTTCTGCTGTTATAGCTAGCAAAAGAGCAAACTTCATACTCCCATAGAGAAATATTCTTCTTTCTTAAGGCATTGCAATCAATTTTTCAGTTAATCATGAAGCCTGAATGACTGATCTAAATAGGAGAGATTTCTGAGCACTACTGCTATGAAAGTAAAAGTTTGGACTTCATGAAAGAATCCAAGGCTTTGCCAGACTCCAAAACTCCACAATGCCTCACCTTCCTCTACAAAGCAACATCTAAAATCTTAGGGACCTCGGTCAAACATGTTACGCTTACTTGGGCATCCTCTCTCAAAACAATCTCCTATTATTGTTTTGTTGTTATTATTATTACTACTGAGCACATGTATCTTTCCCCCCTTCAGTCATCCATTAATTCTGCAAAATAAGTCAGCCTTGAAACAGGTTTCTTAAAAACCTTGTGTCAACTTTTATCACTGCTCCCAGGAACACTCCACTCCTAAAATGACTTCTCTGTCTTTTAATTGCTGGATCTACCCAGAAGCAACTTTGAACAAAAGGCAACACTGCTGCAACTGTAATTTAAAAATCACAGCACAAAGAAATGCCTCCCACCGCCCTCGCAATTGCTTTCTGACATATCTTCCTTGCCTCTCTGTAAAAGACTCTTTGCTAGCTTCAGCCTTTTAAAAATGGCTCCAATGCAGCTATCACGGTGGAAGGCAGGCGCTGTGTTTACATCTGGAAAACATGAGGTAGACCCCCCCCTCCAGCTGCACAAGGATTCTCTCCTTTTCTCCTCCCTCCCTCCATGCTCTCTTTCTGGCCCTGCAATGCTATTTGCTCTGATGACTGGATCACCATAGCAACTGTGATCACCAACCCTGTGGGATCCTACTTACCGTAAAGGTGGTCTCCTTGTTCTGCTTCCGAGTAGGTGATGGGGACCCCGGACTCTGAGGAGAGAGGCAAGAGGCATCGTCAAAACTGCACTCCACATCCGACATAATGTTTATTTGGAGGATATGCAGAGGGGAGGTGGAGGTGATGGGGTTAGTGCTGCATGCAAGCCAAATTTGAGGTGAGTCCTCCTCCTTTCTGCCTTGCTTTCTGCTTTAGCCTTTTCCCATATCCAGAGGTGTCACAGCCTGACAGCTGAACTCTTGCAAGAGGGACTTCTGCTCTGTGCTCAGGAAAGCAGCACACAAGCTCTTTACAGCCAGATAATTCATCCGAAACATGGTGACACCTCCCCTTCCAATCAGTGCCTAGCTTTGGAGTTAACTCTTCGACTGCATGCCAGCTCCAAAACAGGGACCTTTAAAGAGTTAGTGGGAAAGTCCACTTCTACTTTGTGCTCAGTGGCACGCAGCTGAGCCGGCGTACCTGAATGGCTTGTTTCACTATAGGTTCAGATTGCAACCGGAGGCATCTCTTCTATTCCCCCCAATTCCTTCACCCCACCTCTCATGGCACTAGAAGTAAGCTTGAAGTCTCTGTAGCGATGTTAATAACACAGCACAGGTGTCCCTAAAGGCTTCTTTTAAACTCCATCTTCAAATTACTAAAAGCATCACACTCCATTGCCTTTATCAAACTGACAGCAAAGAAATGACCCAAAAACAAAAGTGTAATATGCAGTGTACTTTATACAGAGGTCAGAAGACACATGGTTTAAATATATTTTTGGCAGGCTATTCCACCCAAAGCTACTCTGCTATATCTTTAACCCTTTCACCATTATTACTGATATTGTGATTATTTGTAGCCTTTACCAAGGTATAGTTGGGAAATACCTCATAAACATGCATGTTGTACTGTTCACCAGTGCATGGAGCAAACATGCAACCAAACATATGCAGACACACTCATGCACATCAAGAGTAAAGACGATCTAACAACCTCATCCAGTTCCACAAAGCTGAACTATCTTTGATGGCTTATAGTTACCCCAAGGGTAACTATAAGCAGTAACAGAATTCTTGATTTGAACGAGACTACAAGGATCATCCAGTCCAACCCCTTCTCATGCAGAGCGACACATAATGCAGCTCTCTGGGGATTGCCAGGCTGAAAGCCTCAGCAACCTTAGCAAGTATTGATACTGTGAGGAGCAATGAGAATTGCAGCCTAAGAAGATGAAGGAGCCTGTACACTTTCCACCTCTGTTGGAAAACTACAACAAAAAATTTCATATTGATAAGTGATGCCATTGCACCATTGACGGAGGCATCTCCACCATAGTCCAGTCAATCTCTGCTTTGGTTTTCTTGAACCCATGGCACCCTGTTTTTATCACTATGCGCTTTGCAAACAAGCAGTCTGCTGCTCTCTATCTTTTTAAAAAGGCCTTGCATAAGTTAAACAGCATTTCTAACCAAACCTGCACTCCCTTTCTTTTTAACACAAAGGATGTGTCTTGCTGAACCAGAATCTGAAAATAAGCCCAGTTCTGTAAAATGCCCTAATGCTGACAATGTTGTTTTTCTTTTCTTGTCTTTTTTGGAAAAAAACATCTTTGTTAGCATTAGTTGTCAGTGCAGAGCAGAAAAACTATGCCCAACAGCAAGTTGGCTTTGGTTCAGCAGCAACACGAGAGCTGACTGCAATCTCTAGTGGGAAGAAAAGTATAATGAAAACTCTCATCATCACCCCCATCCCCTTGCTAAAGAAATGGGATTCTGTTTCTAGTCACCTTTGAGTCCAATCTATAAGAAAGAAATTGCTTTACAGCTATTCTATACCCCTCTGTGCAAAGTGCTTTCATGCTCAATAAACCACTATGTTCAGAAGCAAACCCCAAACCTCTGAGCTTCCAAGCACAGTCAAATTTCTTTGGTTAACACTAACGCTCTAAATTACTGGGATCATTTTCTTTCTATCAAATTAACCAAAAGCACTGCATTTCCTAGATTGCACAGCTTCAAGCCTTCCATTTTACTCACTGCCCATATCCCTGTCCCCCAATGAGTATGACCGAATAATATCATTTACTTGCCCAAGCAACATGTAGTCGCTCTAATGCCACTCCTGCAGTCAGTTCAAGCAGATCATTGCCAACACGAGGTCTACGTGCAAAAGATGTGAGTTCAGGAAGAACTTGCACCTGGGTTCCTCAGATACATTAGAACCCAGGAGCCATGCAGACCTGTTTTTTTTTTTTTTTTGCTATTGTAACTTTGTTAAGGGTGTATATATTTGGTAAAAAAGTGATGTCCTCCCAGAATTATAAGCTCTTATGGATGTACACAATTTTGAGGACAATTAGTCATACTCGTTGCATTTTTATATCCAGGGAGAAGTATCTGAGATGTTTTCTGCCTAAATTGCATCCATTTCAAATATAAATCCCTAAACCACCTGCTTTAAGAACGAGTTGGGGAGAAAAAGAGAAACCTGGATTCTATAACTAGAGAAGGGTTTTGTAGGTTTTGTTGTTATTGTTGTGCACCTTCAAGTTGTTTCTGACTTATGGCAACCCTAACACCATAAGGTTTTCTTGGGTTGGGAGTATGTGACCAAGGTCATCCAGTGGGTTCCCATTGTTGAGCAGGGAATTGAATCAGGCCTCACCAGACTTCTGGGGCTTGTAGTTTAGGGAAGGGCTTTTAAACTGCTCATCCAGAGAAGCCCTGGGCCACCTTAAACTAGAAGCCCCAGAATTCAGCAGGAGGCAGTCACAGCATTTAAAATGGACTGAAGTGGATAAATGCTTAAGTGTGATGAGGCCCTAGTGTCCAGGGTTGTTATCCAACCATCAAACCATTAAACTACACTGGCACATTGAAGGTTTTAACTAATACATATTTCTCCACTATATTTGCTATACATAAAAGTGTTTCATAAAGTACAAGCAAGACTCCTGTCAACTATTTTCTAGCCAGTCTTTTAAATAAACACTGAGCAACATTAAAGATTAAAACAGTGCCAAGTTCTAGAAATCTAAAATTCTTATCTGCAGCAGCGCTGGGGGTGAGGAGAAAGAGAAATGGGGAGGAAAGAAAAACTGAAAAAGTCAATGGCTTGGACAACTTACAAGGCCAAGGGAGCCTTTTCAACTAAGTTCTTAATGTTCTCAGATATGACTTGCTGACTCAAATACAGCTCATCAGATTGAAAGTGGCAACTTTTTTCCAAACCAACACCATGGAACAAGTAACTGTGTTATCGCTGCAAGCTTTCATATCTGACAGATTGCTACTCTTTTGAGCAAGTTCACAAATAAATGTTTCACACAGACACATACAGTGTAAGCTGAATTTCCAGCCTGTTTAGGCTGAAAAAGCCTCCCCCTTGACTTATACTAGAGTTAAGGTTATTTATTATTTTACTCTGTTATTATTATTATTACATTTATTATTTTACTTATTATTTTACTTATTATTATTATTATTATTATATTACATTAATCTTAGTTTACTCTAATATTCTTAAATTTATTATTTTACTCTTATTACTGTTACTATTTTCTTTACTCTATTAATATTACATTTATAATTTTACTCTTTATTATTATTGGAAGGATACATAAGCACATTTACAATGAAGAAGGTTAGAATAATGGTTTAATCAGAGTTGGACAGTTTTAGATAAATATTCAAAAACATTTAACCTACTGATGCCTCAATTAACATAATTGTATTGGTATCTATTTTTATTTTGAAATTTACCAGTACCTGCTGCATTTTCCACTCTCGGCTTATATTCAAGTCAATACATTTTCCTAGTTTTCTGTGGTAGAATTACGTACTTCGGCTTATATTTGGGTAGGCTTATACTCGGGTATACAGTGTTCCCTCACTTATCGCGGATGTTACGTTCCAGTAAAAACCAGCAAAGTAGAGACGCTATATATGTACTGCCTCAGGGCGTGCAATGCTTAGGACCGCCCCCTCCTAGGAGTGGTTCTGCCCACTCCTCTCTCCCCCTCCTCTCTCTCTCATTCACTCAATCCCTTTGCTTTCTCTTTACTCTCCTCTTCTCTCCTCCCTCACTGTCCCTTCCCCTTGAAAACCACACTTCCCGTTGGCTCCTCCTCATGTGCCTGGCTCCCCCTCCCCTCCTCCTCCTCTTCCCCCTCCCCTTCCTCACTCATGCGTGCCTTCTTCGCCTTCCTCTCCTCTTCCTCCTCCTATTCCCCCACTTCGGCTCCCCCCCTCCACCTCCCTGTCAGGGAGGGAGGGAGGGAGGGAGGGGAAGGAAGGAAGGAAGGAAGGAAGGAAGGAAGGAAGGAAGGAAGGAAGGGAAGGAAGCAAGCCCTCCTCACCTTCCACTTCGCCGGGTGAAGAGAGAGAGAGTGAAGGAAAGGAAGGAAAGGCTCTTCAAGGCTGGAGAGAGGGAAGGAGGACTGAGGAGGGAAAGCACCTCAGAGAGCGGTGGTGGCCAGTTTGGGCACCTGCTGCATGATATATATTTTAAATTCATATTTATTGGAAAACCGCAAAACAGTGAGTCCGCGAAAAGCAAACCGCGATGTAGCAAGGGAACACTGTAAACGGTAAATTTCACCAACTGACTATGAGAAGCAGCAGCTAGAGTGTTGTGCCTTGTATAGTTTGTTGAGTTTCAGAATCCGACTCAGAGTTTGGAAATGTTTCTGGTTTTCTATTATAACTCCCAGAACTCTTCAGCTGGCAGGGCCACAATCATCCTTTTTAGGGTGAGAAGGGCAGGATAGATAGATAAATAGATAAATAAATAAATAAATAAACAAATCCTGGATGGAATTCACAGTACAGAACGCAACATACTCAAGTTCTGACCTCACTTCGTTGCCTTAAGAACATTGTTGTTTTTCTGCCTAGCTCCCTTCACAAGATTGGTATATGTTTGTTAAGCTCTACTCAAGTCTCTGGAGGAAGGGTGGGATAAAAGTGAAATAAATGTTATGAGCTGCAAACACAGATGGAACATATTGCGTGCGAGGTGATGTCAGCTGATAAGGAAAATTTGTTTGAGGTGTTTGATGATCTTATAATTGCTGTTTCACACACCTCCAAGCCTGTTCGAATTATGAACACAAGATATAACTTTTTTCAAGAATACTGGTCTAAAAAGCATCACTTTGATTGTTAAAGCAGGACAAAAATTGCAGAAAGCTGTTTTTAAAAAAAAGAAAAACAACACATCTTAGCCAATGTAGCATTTTCAGTGAAGGTACAGACACAAGAAATGCAAAAATCAATTCGGTAATCATTTTTGAAATTGGCCAACATGATTCCTTAGTGCATAGGGAACAGGGAAGAAGCAATATCAGATGAGCACTAGCTTGTTAAGGATGAGACTTAAGTTCTCAAGTTACCCTTTTGAATCTATTTCCACAAACTGATATGGGATTCATATTCCTTTAATTCTCATAGTCACACTATTAAAGTTGGATTGCAGATGAGGATCTGATGGCAAGACAGTAATTTCCCAAAGCTACTTGCAAGCTCATGGCTCTTCATAATTCAGCAACATCTGGTTGTCTTGTCTTACATTTTCAAACATCCACAACACTTGAAAGTTGAAACAATCTCTGAAGCCCACCGGGAGCTGCTAATGAGTAGTATTTAAAAATGTAGCTGGAAACTACAGTGAACACTATGCTGTTGTTTAGAAATGCTGCTGCAAAGATCAATCCAGGGCAATCCTGCTGTGCACAGAGGAAACAGCAGTAAACCAAGAAACCAAGCAGGGCTCGATGCAATGATGGACACTTATACATCCCTTGCTATGATTACTATACTATGCGAAACAAGGAAACCTCTAGTGTTTTTGTGGCCTAGTGTTCTAACTCACATTGTTTTGCAGAATAATCTGAATTCACCAACTTATTTCAGTTTCCAACTTGCTTTTGCAAAACGGTGCAGAAATGTATTGACAATATTGCACGATTTAAGAAAGAATGCCTTCATAATAAGTAACATGCTTACAATAATGTCTCCTAGTACAAAAGCAAGAGGATGCTTAGTTTTAAAAAGTTACTAATTCCAATTAAACTTTGATCAAATGAAGGGACACATTGGATGACAAGCCTGAGGAGAGCCCAAATGAGTATCAATATGAGATTTTGCTTTCAAAGACAAAAATTCAAACCAAGCTACTTAAGTAAGTCCTATACTTCCTCTAAATAAATACAAATCATGCACAGGAGAAAAAACCCTCTCTTGGACTTACCTGGGGGTCATTGCCAACTTTGCGGAGACTCATGTGGCTTGATTCTAGTTGGGGAACCAGAGTCCCTGGTATGTGATATCCATTCACTGCAGAGAAGAAACACAAGGCTCAGAATAAGAGGGTGGTAAATTTCAACAGGATGCAGGCCTTTCACTGAAGTAAAGTAATTTACCTGGCATAACTCAGTAGGTAACAACGTTTAATGCAAACCTCACCACCACAAATTGAGGCGCACACTCAGCAGATACCTCACTCTCTATAAAGGCATACATATGTTGGTTCCATAAAGGTTCCTACATGACTTGATGGCTCTGGCCGAAACTTGCACATATCCTTCACTATGCAACCTAAAATACTGGAGAGGTTTCAATTGGGCCAGGGCCCAAAAACAAAGGAAAAACGTATGTGTGAATGCAGAACTCAGATGCAACCAGAAGAGGGAGCTATATAGATGGAAAAGCTACCTCAGAGGGCAAGATAGAAAATGAAGGCGTGCTAGAGCATCAGTTGGGAGACACTCTATGGTCCCTTCCATGCTGCTTCTATATTCCGGGATCTGATCTCAGATTATTTTCTTATCCCAGATTATATGGCAGTGGAGACTCATATAATCTAGTTTAAGTCAGATAATCTGGGATCAGATCCTGGAATATCGGGCAGTGCAGATGGATCCTAAGACCCTTCTGCACTTCTGCCATAGAGATGTTCTCAGGGAAGCCTTCTCAGATGGCTTGGCAAAGATGGAAGTAAACTGGAGAAGGGAGACATAAGTCCTTCGGATAACAAAACTTGGGTAATAATTCAACAAAACTCTATATTCAAAGCAGTGTATTTTTATGTATGGAGGAAATAATTACCCTGAGTAAATTTGTGCTGTGGATCTGAGTATTGAAACTTTTATAAAACACTAGCATATATACCTGGTGTTGCCCGAGTATGCATTTTCTGATATGATTTATTAGAAATATTCATTGCTTGCTTGATAATTTTATGCAGGGCCCCGTTAGAAAATGTATGTCTTGGCAATGCCGGGTACCTAATCTAGTATACTCTAAAATATGCAAAAAATCAAAACAGGCAACAGCAATAGTAACTAGTAGTATGCACTAGTTACAAAGTGACTGTTGGGACACATTCTTCGTTTTCTAAACTAGTGCAAGCATAAAAGATTAGTCACATGCCCTTCAGTGAATGCTTTTCATGTTATCAAGATGTATGTATAGGAACATTACAAGATTTTACCAATTTCTCTTTAGATTCACCCCTACTATTTTTCTTGTTAAGATTCTGTACAATATGACATTATTTTGGTCTGGCACTGGTTGGTTGGTTGGTTTCAGTGGTCTGCTTCAGAAGGGACACTGTTATGACATGAAGCATTTATTTAGCAACACAGCAGAAGTGTGCCATAGAAAGAGAGGATACATTTATTTATTACATTCCTATCCCTCCCTTCTCACCTTGAAGGGGACTCAGAGCGGCCTTACAAGTAGGCAACTATTTGGTGCCTCATAACATGTATACAATAAAACAAACATATACATTAAAAAAACCAAACAGTTAAAAACATAACAACATTAAAACCAATTATTAAAATCATGCAGGGCAAAATCATAATCCAAGGCTGTTCCAGTCATTTAACTATTCTGTATTCACTTATTGCACTGAAGATTACTAACCAAAAGCTTGGTTAGCTGGTCTGATTTCACTGGGGAGGGAGTTCCACAGGCAAGGGGGCACCACTGAGAAAGCCCTGTCTCTCGTCCTCACCAACCACATCTGTGAAGGAGGTGGGACCAAGAGCAGAGCCTTCCCAGAAGATCTTAACTTTGAAGGTGGGTCATAGAAAGAGATACGTTTGGACAAGTAAGCTGGGCTGGAATTGTATAGGGCTTTATAGGCTAAAGCCAGAACTTTGAATTCTACTCAGTAGCAGACTGGAAGCCAGTAGAGCTGATGCAACGGGGGGCTGTATGCTCCCTGTACGCTGCCCCAGTGACAAATCTGGCTGCCACCCATTGGATCACTTGAAGCCTCTGAACAGTCTTCAACGGCAACTCCATGTAGAGCACATTGCAGTAGTCTATTCTGGATGTAACAAGAGTATTGACCACCATGGCCAAGTCTGGCTTCTCATGACAGATCAGCAGAAGGGGTTTCCACTGAATCTAAAGCCACTTGTTATTTCAGGAAGGTAGTTGCTCAATACTGATTGCTTTTAACTCATATTGTCAGACAGGGACAGCATATTGTCAGACAGGGACACATTTCACAGCTGGTATTATTTATCATATAGCCCCTTTCACTGGCAAAAACCTAAGAATCTAGTGCAATGGCTGAAAGTATCTACTTGGCAGGAAAAGGCTGCTCAGAGGATGAAAAATGTGAGCATGTAATCTTCAAGGGCTCTTATTCTACTGAGGAAATGCCATTCCTCAACTTGAAAGTGCAACTTTCCTTCCTTGATTAGGCAATGGAGACGTCCAAGTATTCTCCCAATCCCACGTCACCCAAAATGTTGAAACTCTGTATGCAATTTCTCTCAGGAAAACCAACACATGTGACTTTTGGCTGATTTGTGACCTACCTGTAGGCAAGGAATTCTTCTGGGTCACAGGGCTCTTTGGGGTCCCAGGCACACTACTCGGCCGCTCCCAAGTAGTCTCTGTCCAAAAGAGAATTAAATAAAAGTAAATAGATGGGACTGCATTGAGAATCATCAAAAGATAAAAAGAAATCCTGTCCTCCTCCACAAGCAATCACACTATAGACTGTGGAATTCCCACCTTTATTAGACTTTAAAACTTGCCTGCTGGTCCATGTTGCTTTATATAGTGTAGGAAAACGGATACCAATCATCTCAAAGGATCGTTTAAGAGTGGGCCCAGATGGAAAGTTTCCCCCCAGGCCATTTTCACACTTCCAGGCAGAAGCCGCTCTACCAACCACCCCACTGCAGTTCCTGACAGGTGCATCAAACCAAAGCACTCAGCATGTCTAGACTGTGGGAGTTAGGAAAGTCTAAAGAGCACACCCGATCTCCTGTATTAAAAAAAAACCCCTTCAGTTCTTTCTTCTTTTAAATCCCACTCACAATAAAGACCCCCTTTGAGTCAATCAGAATTCTCCAAGGGCGTCTGACACAGAAGGCTCTCAAAGGCATTCAATATTTGTACAGTCCTGCCAACTTGAAGAAGTCACATAACTCTAGACCAGTGGTTTTCAACCTGTGGGTCCCAGGTGTTTTGGCCTACAACTCCCAGAAATACTAGCCAGTTTACCAACTGTGAGGATTTCTGTGAGTTGAAGGCCAAAATATCTGGGGACCCACAGGTTGAGAACCACTGCTCTAGACAGAAAACATGTTTGGAGCCCAGCTCTCTTTACTACTCCTCTGAAACATGTCTGTTAAACAAGAACATTTTCTGGGTGCATTCTGAGAAAAAAAGTCACCTAATTTATTTAGCTGTTTTGGCATTCAAAGGAACATCAAGATTCTCCATCAGATTTCACAGCAATTCCAGAAAACGTGCTTCATGGCACATGGGCAATATCTGGCCCAAAACAAAAAATCTGGCTAATTTCAAATGATAATCACGCAGCCTGTATCTCTGGCAGTAGATGGTGCTCTAAGTTTGAATTAGCCTCAAGGCTCTGCAGCTCATTTCAGAAGCACAGACACAAGGAAAGCTCGGCTGCCGCCTGCGAACAATGCAGTGCTGTTTTGTTTTTATGACTGCAGGTAGGAAATCATTCGAAGCACCTACAGTACTTGTTCCGAAAAGCTGCGTGCTGGCTGCTGTGCACAGGTCAAACACGTCCCACTGAAAAAAGCAGCACTGTAAATGGCCAACTGAGCTAATTTTTCGAAAGCTTTGCAAGGGAATGCAGCAAGAAACACTGCACAGGGAAAGAGATACAGCAATGGAAAATCTTATAAGTATGCCTTAAAATCTACTGAAAGAAAAGGTTAGATTTTCAAAATATTAGGACACATGTACCATGATGATTTGGGGGGGGGGGGGTGAGGGCTTGGTGGGTGAAAGTACTGCTGGAAGTAACATCTGAAATGAAAAAGAATGCACCTGGGGCATGACCCACAACCACAGAAGTTCAATGCCCTCCTTTCTGACCATCCTTCTTTATATGTGATCCAGTCTGACCTTGGAAGGAGAGAAAGGTCAGCTCTCACTAGCAATTGGATGGGAGACCATTAATGTATGCCAGGTGCTATTCACTCTATTTCAGAGGAAGAAACTGACAAAACCACCTCGGAGCATTCTTTGCTTAAGAAAACCCTATGAAATTCACGAGGTCACCATAAATTCACAAGAAACCTAAAGAGATGTGCACACATATACCTCAGTTAACAAAAGATACATTCCTGAGCATGAATTCTTTAACAGAAAAAATGGTACTAAAAGCAGAAACAGTATGGAAAGAATTTCCCACACGACAAAAAAAAGTTCAATATATTTCAATAATTATGTTATTCAAAATATTTTGGGAGAAGCCTTCCATGAGTAAACAAAACCATCTGAACCTTCTAATTGAAGGCTTCTTCCAAAATATGGATGGCTTTCCCCTCTTTCTTTCATCAGTCTATACTTTCTCCAGCACTTCTTTCATCATCTTTCCTTGGCCTTCCTTAATCGTCCTCTCCATTTTGATACAGCTAGTCAGAGGATGCAGAGGAATGTCAGAGCAATGTGGGCACAAAAAGACTTGGTAAAAAGGAACTTCTATGTCAGCAGCTTAGTAAACTGAAGCATGCTTGTACTAGAGCACTCTCTATTAACCCTGTTTCCTGCAGAGGATTCATCCCTCTCAAGATATTTTAAACTGTTCATTTGTTCACCATTGGCACAGTAGTATGTTCTAAATTCAGAATGTCTTATAACTTTCAGCAAGACTGCATATATGGTATTACTCAGTTATTTATAAATAATTTAGGTTCTTCAGTTCTCTTTCTATTGCAGGAATATCACTTACTCCATACAATAGTCTGCAACGGTTCAAATGCAACCTATCAATTGGTATTATGAATGCTGTTTGGAATACTTACTGCTGCACAAATATGATGGTCCCATTAGGATATTGCTCAAAGCATCTACTTCCTTACAATGCCCATGCTCTCCCATGCCTTTTTTTTAAAAAAAACAACCCCTTAATAACAGTACTGTATCCATTAATAAGGATATGCTATGACTCATAGGGATATCCTTCAGTAAGACTCCTGTTTCTATTTAAAGAAAGTTATTTCAAAGCCCAGACTTAAATTTTTAGGAATCACTGGATAACCACTATGACTCTCTATGATTTAGGGGAAAATTCTCCCCAGCACAATTTTCCCCAAATCCCTCTGGGTAGAGATGCCACAGATCAAACATAGAAAATTATAATTCAAAAGATCTGGTCTCATTTAGCCGTCTTTTATGGAACCACATTTTAATATGTGTGTTTGAAGAATTTTTACAGTATTTGTGTGTTTTTGACTGTGTTGTGACCAGCCTCGAGCCATAATAATAATAATAATAATAATAATAATAATAATAATAATAGTTGTTGTTGTTGTTGTTGCTGTTGTTGTTGCTGCTGTTTCCAGTAAGTTATGGTTTCTGTGATATGGAGCATAACACATATGAGCAAGGTTTCCAACTCAGCTGTATTAGGATAAGATAGTACATTAAGGAAGAACAGCTGTTGAGGGGAGGCCCACCTGAAAATGGCCTAAGATAGGGTGGGAATTGGAGGGAAGGATATTAGAGGCAATGGTGAAGTACTATGGCCACATAATGAAAAGACAGGAAAGCTTGGAGAACCTAATGATGTTGGGGAAAATGGAAAAGGATAGGGGTCGACCAAGGACAAGATGGATGGATGGTATCCTGAAAGTGACTAGCTTAACCTTGAATTTGCTGGGGGTGACAATAGCTGACAGGGAGCTCTGGCGTAGGCTGGTCCATGAGGTCATGAAGAGTCGGAAGTGACTGAATGAATAAACAACAAACGGTGGAAATCACGCACCCTCAGCAGACATAGCTTGCATAGCCACTGGTAAAGAATTCTGGGCATTTCAGTCCAAGAACATCTGGAGGGCCACTTGATTCCAACTCTGCTCTAAGAGATTATTCACATAACCTCAAGGGTAGGAGGGGTTTTTCCTTCCCAAATTACATAATTTTGTGGTGGGTGGCCTATCATCAGTGATTCATTGTGATTCGTAATCACACTGCTTAGCATTCTTTCTCAAATTGGCTACATGTGTAACATCTGGCTACAGTGACACATGTCTTGATAACATCCTGTTTGGACTACTGCAAATCACTATACTTGGGACTGCCTTTGGAAATTATCCCAAAACTTCAGCCTGTAGACTTGGCCTGGGCATAGGGTTCATATGACTCCCCTTTCAAAATAGCTGCATTGGCTAGTGCATCGTTTCTGGATGCTAGGTTTAACCTTTAAATCCCTAGAGAGCTTGGGGCAAGACTATCTGCAAGATGGCATCTGTAACTGTTAAGGTTTACAAGAGAGGGTTTTCTCCAAGTCCCACCATTTTTGCAAGAGGATTTGGTGAAAGACCACTTGGACTCCTCCCTACTTTCTTTCTACCGGCATGTCAAAATATTTTTATTAAGGCAGCACTCTGCATTTTAAATATGGTTGTAAGTGGTACACTGTTTGAAAATACCTTTTTATTATGTTTTAAGCATTTTAAATTATCTTTAGTAGTACTGAATTCCTTTTTCACTTTTGTAATGTTTTAGTTGCATCTTTTTAAAATAATTGTTAGCCAAATTTTGGGAGAAGGGCAATATAAAAATTTAACCAACAAGTCAATCAATCAATTTGCCACCCATGTACTTCCTTTTACTTTACTTTCCACTTGAATTCCACAATTCAAGTGTCCAATCCTCAATCTATATTGCCAGAAACACACGCAAGACAAAGGACAATTGAATAAACTGACTCCAAATATGTTGCCTTCTAAAATCCCATGGCTCCCACCCCCTAATAATTGCAGCCATTTTCCTTATTAAACCACCACAAAGGTATGGTTTGTCTGCAGCACTACCCTTTTCAACCATACTGGTAGTGGTTTTAAGCATATGCAAGCCACCTATCATGTTTGTGTATATATGATGATGTGCTTTCCTCCTGTTTCTTACATCACCCTGAGTTGAATATTCAGGGGTGCAGAAATACTCTTGGTCCAAGCATTCAAGTGCAAATTATATGTTCCTGAAGGATTAAAGACAAAAACAAAACAACCCCAAGGCAGGCAATTAGCATATGTAATATTATTAATGTTGTAATTTACTTAAAATTCCATTTCCTATTCTGCTATCTTAAGCCTTTTATTTTAGGCTTGTTTGGAATGTCTGCCCAATTTTAAGATAGCAATAATTGTGAGTCATAAGGGATGGCAGCAGAGCTGAGAGAACACAAGTGTTTGATTAGCAAGTGCATGCATTCACATTTCACGTATGTGTTTCATAATAGAAAAGGAGAAAGAAGTACTGAACAAATCTAATTCAAGCAGATGCAGGAAAAATGATGATGACTCCACATGGTTTCTCTGAAAAGTGTTAGCTCAGAGATCTAGACTACCAAGAGCTAGCCAGGTTTATTTACTTACTTGCTATATTTACACTGCTGCTT